CCACACTTCATTGTGTGCCATATAATGCATCTCATTTTTCATAACACCTACCCACATATCAGACTAAAGACAAATATTATGGTATGTTACAGGATCAACAATATCACCAATATCATAATCATTTTCTCCAAAGTATATATAATATTCATTAGAAATAATAGGTCTCATTGATCTTGTAGACCTTCTTAAGAAAATTTTAGTAGTAGGCTCTAAAGGCTGAGAAACCTCAATAGGAACAAAAAGGTCAATTGCAGGAATAGGAGAATCAACAACTAGAACAAGAAATTTAACAATAGGAGTAGGTATAATATTCTCTTGCACAACAGGTAAAAAAATAAAAACAAAGTTATCTTGCTCATGCTCACTAATAGACTGCGAGCAACCAACATTAAATTTCAAAAATTTTGCTGTTAAGGACTCAATAATTTTAGTACCACATGGAGGACAATAGAACTGATATCCTTTCAAATATTCTAGATAACCTATGAAAATATAATGAATAATTCTAGGATCAGTTTTTTGTTAAAAGGGTTATAATTTTTGACCTCAATAGGATAATTCCAAACTCAAAAATGGTTAAGGTTTGGAATAATTCATAACAAAGGTATTTTTGGAATAATTTTGTTATGAATTCTATTAAGAATGTATGAAACCGTTTTAATGACTTCTTCTCAAAGATAATCAGAACTAATGGGCATTTAGTTTAACAGTACTCTTTGTCTTATAAAAATTTTATTTTTTTAAGGTCAAAGGTTTAAGTCTCGCTCTTCCCATTTCTCATCTCCCAAAAAAAAATAAAAAAAATAATCAGATAAGTTACACCTACTCATCATGCTCTTCATCATGTTTTTATGGGTGCGATTACACATTTCAGCCACACCATTCTACTCGAGACTATCAAACATAGTATATTGGGTAACAATCCCACAATCTTGCAACTATTTGGCAAACAGTTTCAATTGTTATCCAGACACGTCATATTTGCCATAATACTTACCATCACGGTCAGACCTAGCAATTTTGATGACTTTCCGTAATAGTTTCTCTACCTCAATTTTAAAAATTTTAAACTTTTCAAGAGCATTAGATTTTTCATTAATTAAATACATATATCCATAACGAGAGAAATCATCAATAAATGTAATAAAATATTTATTACCACACAAGGTATGTGAGTAAAGTCCACTGATGTTAGTGTGAATGATTTATAAAAGATATATATTGCGAGTTACACTTTTTTTCTTAGTCTTTGTCAATTTACCCCTAAAGCAGTCAACATAAGTTTCAAAATTTTTCAAAATCAAGGGGAGGAAGTATATCATTATTTATTAATCTTTCCACTATTTCTCTAGAAATGTGATTCAAACATTTATGCCACAACTGTAAAGATTTTTCTTTAATGAGAGGTCTCTTAGATACAACATTCACAATATATGAAAGAACATATTCATTGTTGATAGTCAAGTATATACTATACAGATCATATGATAATGCACAATGACCAACAATTTTGAAATTTAAAAACAATTGAGTTTTACCATTATTAAAATTAAAACAATATCCAATATTATCAAACAAGGAAATTGAAATCAAAATCTGCCTAAAGGACGGTACATAATTTTTTTTTTCTAAAACAAGTTAAAAACTAGTGTCTAAATTTAACCTAACAGTTCATATGAACTCAACACGAAATTCATTATTATTTCCTGTTTTAAGCTTGACTTCCCTTTCATTTGGCCTCCATTTGCTTGTGAATTTCTGCAAAGTCATGGTAACATGAACAGAAACTCCACTATCAATTCACTAAGAATTTAATGGGACATTAACTAAATTGGATTCAAAGCAAATAAAGACTATTAATTACTTTCTTCTTTATTGCTCTTTTCTGACCAAGAATTGAATCGAGTGCACTAACTTTTATTATGACCTCGTTTCTTATAAAAGTAACACTTTATATCTTTTCAAATGGTAGTCTTAGGACCTCCCACATTCTGACTAGTACTATGCCTTTTAAAATTTTGACCATTTTTTGGAGTATTATGATTAGGTTTTCTATTATTTTCCCAATACCCACATTTAAAACTAGATTTACTTTGAGAAACAAACAAGACAATTTTACTTTTTTTTTTCTAAGTTTTTCTTTCTCAGAATCATACTTAGAGATAGGGTCATTTATTGTCCAGGACTCATTTTAGATATTGTAGGCAGTTTTAATTCGCTAAACTAAGGAGCCAAAGAATTAAGAATGTGACGAACAATGAAATCATCAAAAATAACAAATTTGAAGGCTTTGAGAGTGGTTTGAACATGGACCGTTTTAAGGATATATTCTCTAACGCCACTTACATTGTCAAATTTCATACTCGTTAATTCATTCATTAGATCCCTAGCTTTAGACTTATTGGATACCTTTTATCTCTCTCTTATGGCGATAAAGAACTTCTTGACATTCTTGATTTTAGGTAGTCACTCATAAGATATTCAAAGATAGACATTTTCATGGCAATCATACTCAGCCGATTAGATTTCTCCCACTTTACATACAATTATTTTTCTTTAATGGAGCTCTCACTAGTAAGTTTACCAGATTCATTCTCTTTCAAGGCAAAGTCTATATCAACAATTCTTAGAGTAACCTCAATATCTTGCTTTAATCTCTCATAATTAGAATCAGTTAAGACTTCAATGTTGACATTATTATTATTCACAACAAAGAGACTGTTTAATTTCTCATTATTATTATTCGTGCATAGCACTTAGACTCTTATTATAAATATATCTGTTAATGTTGTAATTATATTCGTTAATAAATTAAACTTAGACCCCTAAAATTTGTAAGTATATAATACTTAGACTTTTTAAGTTTAAAATATTATACTTAGACAAAAAATACTCCAATCAAATATTTTAAATTTTACAATCAAAATTCATATTCTATTGTATCATTTATTGAAATAAAATCAAAAATAAAAATTTAATTTTTTCTTAAAAAATTGTAATTAGTATACAATTATATTGTCTTCTAGAATTTAATTTAATCGTTTAAACGAATAAATTAAAATACCAAACTACTCAAATTAAATCTAAAAGATATTGTGTCTGATACAGTTTGATTCTTTATTTAAATTTTTAGTTTTTCTTAATAGATAATATAAATAGATACAATGTTTTTTTAAAAAAAATAAATTTTTTATTTTATTTTATTTCAATAAATGACATAATAGAACATAAATTTTAGATATAAAATTTATGTTCTATTATGAATGACTTTTACCCATTATTTGATTTTTTAGTTTTATTCTAATAAATAATATAATTGTATACTAATTATGATTTTTTTAAGAAAAATTTAAATTTTTTTTTAAATTTTATTTTAATAAATGATACAATAAAACATGAATTTTAGTTGTAAAATTTAAAATATTTTATATTTTATATTTGATTGAAATATTTTTTATTTAAATATAATATTTTAAACTTAAAAAAATTTAACTATTATATACCCATAAATTTTAAGAGAATCTAAATATTACAAATAAAAACTTCAGGGGTCTGCAAACCTTAAGAACTCCGGATATTATTCTCAGGGTACGCCGCCATATATGACTTGAAGGCTTCTCACAGTTGTTCTACACTGAGATAAGTTAATAGATTGGCTGAATATTCAAACATTGACCGACTAAGTTGTTGCTCTACAGTCAATTTTATTTTATTTTTTTACTTTTTCTTCCTGAAGGTCATATATACACGTCATCATATAGATATATGATATGAACATTTTTTTTTGGGTTTGATGTAACTAATCCTTGGTAATTATTTATCACCGTCCATTTTATCGTAACTTTTATTCGATGCATCTTGAACGGTGACACGAAAAATCGAATACCAAGTCCAATGAAAATTAATAATTTAATTATATATAAATTTTATTGAGTTCTACATTTATATACGATAGACTTTGATAGCACATATAAAAAATTTTAATGATAAATATATGAAATTTAGAACACCTAAACTACAAGATTAAAAATATTTATGTATGAGTCATGATACTCGATCTCTAAATTTCTTTCATGGAAGGACAAGATCTTCCTCTCTTATCTCAATGAGACAAACCAAATTATGACTATGAAATGGAGAGGGAACCTATCATGTTATTTATAATGAAATTTAATGGGTTCTTCTATTACGAATCATAATTAGATTAAAGTTTATATTTAACCGTCTTAATCAAATCAATTAAAAAGATATAAATAAGTCCATAAAAAATAGATCACTTAATAATATTGGACTCATCTCATTGAATCATAAATTCAGCCTGTTTTTCACAAATTAAAAATTAATTATCAATTAATAGAAGTCCAATATAAAGAAAAATTCTAACAATTTATTCTTCATGAATTCTCTAGTCAGCATGAATGACTTATTTTTTTCGAATCGAAGAATGAATTAATGTATGTACACACAGATTGGCTCGAACAGCTTAGGCACTAATGCTATAAAAAACTAGATTCGCCGTTATACAACTCAGATTACTATTCTCTCCGAAGAAACTCTAAAAGATTAAAAAAATTATTTTATATTCTCAAAGCATTAAATTTTTAAAATTATAAATCTCAATGTATTAAAAATATTATAATATGCCATTTTCGGATAGATTTTGTTACTTTTTTCAACAGTTTTAGTGGAGTGATTTTTGATAGAAAAAATAACAAAAACTAACAGAGCTTATATTACAATATTTTTGATACATTAAGGGTATAAGATAAAAAATTTCATCTTTCGTGAAAACAAAGTCAAAATACTTAAAATTTTCAAGATATAAAGTGCAATTCTCCCTGTTTTTTTTTCCCCACCTTCCGGTGCTACCCCTTTCTCTTCCTCCTCCTAGTCACAAACTACCAAGAAAACAGGATGGTCCCACTCCACGAGACCATCCAGATCAGTGATTGAGTATTTGAATGGAAATCTTCTTATTCTCATAAAAACCATAAAGCTTTTTAATTTTGCCGTCACACCGCTCCAACATTCGAATCTGATCGCTTGTAATAGTAAGAGAGAGAGAGAGAGATTGCGAGAGCAGTACCACCACGGCGATGTTTTTGCAGAGTTCTTCGATCCTTTTTCTTCTCTCCTTCTCACTCCAATCTTTCTACTTCGCAAGTAAGTGAAATTTCCATTAATTTAACTGCAATTTCATTACTGTTTCCACTTTTGCATTCAGTTTCTCAGTACACGCTTCATTTTCTTATCAGATTTCAGCATTTTCCCGATTTTTTTTTTTTTTTGAGAAAAGTTCTTCTACTTTTTGATTTTGATGTACCACAAAGTTTAAAGTGAACTCTAGAATGACAGAATCAGTGAATCCGTAACTAGTTTTGGCAAGGAAACTTTTATTAATTACAATGCAACACAAAGAAAGATCGAGACTTTGACAAGGACGTTCTGTATACAATTGAGTTGCTTGGACTAGTGAGTCTACGCAGTCCGAGTCATCTGACTATGTACCGTCACAGGCTCGCAGTCCTTTATTGGAGTTAACTATGGGGAGGTCGCCGATAACCTTCCACCACCGCCGGCGACGGCGAAGCTCCTCCAGTCAACAAGCATAGAGAAGGTGAGGCTATACGGCGCCGATCCGGCGATTATAAAAGCATTGGCGAATACTGGCATTGCGATTGTGATTGGAGCAGCCAACGGTGATATTCCGGCGTTGGCCTCCGATCCGAATTTCGCGGGTCAGTGGGTTAACTCGAATGTCATGGCGTATTACCCAGCCAGTAAAATCATCGTCGTTACGGTCGGTAACGAGGTCATGACCTCCGGCGATCAAAACCTGATGGGACAACTCGTGCCTGCTATGCAAAACATCCAAAAGGCCCTCAATGCAGGTCAGTACTTTGACTTCAACGGGTTGTTTAGTTCTGTGTCATATTAAAATCTAATTAATTTATTTTCGATTCATTTATATTTATGTATTATTGAGTTTGTGTCGGAGTTTTTTTCGTTGGATTTGTTTCGACATATTTAAATGATGAGCTGATGGATTTACGTTTATTTCCAAATCTACTAAGACCAGATCACAATCCGCCAACTCTATGTGGATTTGTATGACATTCACATACCTAATCTGCTTGGCCAATTGTTGGAACCATATGAATTGCAGCTTCCCTAGGTGGGAGAGTCAAGGTCTCAACTGTACATTCAATGGCTGTGCTGACTCAGTCTGACCCGCCTTCAGCCGGAATCTTCAACCCGGGCTTTGGTGACACAATGAGAGCATTGTTGCAATTTCATGGGGCAAATGCTGCACCTTTTATGATCAACCCATATCCGTTCTTCGCATACCAAAGCGATCCAAGGGCTGAAACTCTAGCGTTTTGTCTGTTCCAGCCCAACGCGGGACGAGTCGACTCAAGGAACGGTATCAAGTACATGAACATGTTCGATGCCCAGGTGAGTTTTAACTTCTACTGGCTAAGCCAGAATGTGATATAGATGTCTGGCCCCATGTGTATGATATAGGCTGATCTATACTCAGACATTTAATATGTCCATCGGCTATGTATGCGAACAAGTTTAAGTATCCATCATTAAGTTTTTCAAACTTTATTTTGTATTGGCGGACTTTTACAAAATAAAATATTAGATCGACTAAAAAATAAGAATCAAATGATATGATATTGTATTAATAATGTTTTTGATTTCACTTTGATTCATTTAACATTTAAATTTTACCTACCATATCAATCGTCATATCATTTGAATTGTAATTTTTTGTCTTTTTTTTTTGTTAGTGTAACATTAGTCTATTCTATACCCCCTTGGAATTTGATGAAGCTAGCGATAGATGATTGAATTAACTTAAAATTATCAAAATCTAAAATTGAGGGGACATCATGTAAGATCCATTGATTTTAATGGTCAATTATGAATACCAATTGGGTAACACAACCACCCGTTCAGATTTTGGAAATCATATGTAAGGAAGCAAAAGTTTGCATAAGTCAGAAATTATGTAATCTTTGTTTTTTCGATGAATGAATTTTATATTTCTGACTAAAAAAAAAAATTAAAATGGAAATTGAGATTATCCAAATCCTACATGCAAATGGTAAAATGATGGGACTTGAGAGCATCTTACATTGTTTTCAACATATATGAATTCCTTGATAGCATCCTACCACAGAAGTGAGGCTCCCTTGGGTTGATGACAGGCTGGCCAGGACTGGTTGTTTGTAACAATTTGATTTTCCTTCTGGTATATGTCAGATTTTAGTGAAGTTGTCACTTTCCCTTTCCCAATTTATAGCTATGGACCACAGGCTGGCCATGACTGTGCCTTTAGATTATCTGCCATTAAACATGCTTGTGCCATGGACCATGTGTTTGAAATAATAATGTATAGTTCCAAACAAATGTTCGACTTATCGGCTTTGGTTAAAAAAACCTTTGGTATTGTTTCACCATGTACGATCTTTTAGGAGTTTGTGTATACTTTTTGGAAAAAATCTCATTTTACCCTCTGAAAAATATAAATTTTTTTAGTTTACCCTCAATAATTAATATTTTTACATTGTCCCCACAAAAAAATAAAAATATTATAATTTGGTCCATCATCTTATTTTCGTTTTTTTCGTTTAGTCGTCCGTATGTTTTGTGTCAAATCAACCAATCACATAATAGATGGACGACTAAACGTAAATAAGACGGTGAACCATATTACATTGTTTTTATTTTTTTGTGGGAATAATGTGAAAAAATTAATCATTCAAATGAGCAATCTGAAATTTTTTGTATCTTTTTGTTATGTAGTAACTGTGTTTGTGTCCGTCGGTAAAATTTCTTCAAGTCGCATTCGGTGTTATGCTCATCTGCTTTAACATTTATGCGTACAGGTTGATGCTGTACGATCTGCATTGAATGCCATGGGATTTCAAGACGTCGAAATTGTGGTCGCTGAAACAGGGTGGCCTTACAAGGGGGACCCCAACGAAGTTGGCCCGAGTGTGGACAATGCAAGAGCCTATACAGGCAACTTGATAAATCATCTCAGATCAATGGTTGGCACTCCTCTGATGCCCGGAAAGTCGGTGGATACCTATCTATTTGCACTCTATGATGAAGATTTGAAACCTGGGCCAGGCTCTGAACGATCATTTGGCCTTTTCAGGCCTGATCTTTCCATGACCTACAATGTTGATCTTTCAAAGCATAGCCAGGTGATACCATTAACTTACTGTTATAGCATCAAAGTTTTACTGCTTACATTTAAACAAAAGCGGCTGCTTACATTTAAACGAAAGCGGTTGTTAATGCTTGTAGCTTGCTTCTGTCCTTAGTTAATTTTGGACTGAAGCTGTTCTGATTGCCATATATCTTTTGAACCGAATACCTTCCTCTGTCATCTCTGGTCTGCCTCTTTTTGAGAGAAAATTTTCTACCTCGCTTTACTATGAGGAGCTTCGAGTCTATCGGGAGAGGATGTGGTGGTAACCCGCACAGCTTCGTCCAGTGGTACAGGAAGACTCACCCTAGCCATTATAGTAATCCCACCCTCTATCCACTTCCCTTTTTCCGTGTGCCCAAAAGCCTGCTCAGTCTATGAGCCCCTGTCCGATTCCCTCACCCAATCTCATGAGAAGCAAGCCCTGGACAATCCTGGTTTGAATCCCCTATTTCATGTCGCTGACATGCATAGAAAAAATGTTCTAAACTTCTAATGTACTTTTTACTATGATGGGGTGAAGGATACAAGGGTAAAATTTAAGATTAGGTATTAAATTTTTGCTGTCATCAGGTAGGGAGCAAATAATCTATATTAAAACAAGTGGTACTGGATTGTTCTTCCAAAGTTTGAAATTGACGAACCATTGATATTCTCTTTTGATCTTAGGTGTTTTGAGAACTACAAGAAAGTATGTGACTTTTTCAACCACGTATATCTATGAAAATTGGAAAATCTGTTGGCATCTATACTATTTAATTAAGGGAGAGGATGATTGTGGCGTATTCATTGGGAAATATCGATATTATCCCTTTAACCACTAATAACTACCCATAACTTTCCATCTTTATTAGTCTTTTTATGTCTGTATATTTATCTCTCTATATGTCACTTTTTTGTAATTTCACACGCAAATGTCATGTGTAAATGCTCCTGGTGAGTAAGAAAATTGTATTCATGACTTTTAGAAGGTTATTCTCACAAATGTTGAACTATTTCAGCCTGTGTAAGCATTCCCTTCAGTTGTTTGTCAATACTATAGGGAAGATAAAAGATGTATTTGGATTCGTTCAGTTATTAACATTATTTTTTTTCGGTTGATCTGCCTTATAGACTCCCGCAACTCCTGCTCCGACAACTCCAGCGACTCCAACTACTCCAGTAACTCCAAAACCAACACCAGCAGCATATTGGTGTGTGCCCAAATCTGGCCTTTCCGATGCTCAGTTGCAGGCAAATCTTGATTATGCTTGTGGCCAAGGCATTGATTGTAGTCCAATTCAAACTGGCGGAGCGTGTTTTGAACCAAATACTGTTGCATGTCATGCTGCTTATGCAATGAATCTCCTGTATCAAACTGCAGGCAGGAATCCATGGAATTGCGATTTCTCACAAACGGCAACACTCAGTTCAAGTAATCCTAGTAAGTTTCTTTCGTTCAGGCTACATTTTTTGTTCTATAAATTAGTATAGTCCCGTACCAAAATAATTATGAATTTTTTGACACACTTTGGACATCTATGTAAGTCTTTGACATGTCGAACTAATTTTTTTTTAAGCTATAGTGATTCCAACTCAAAAAATAAAAAAAAGTTATAGAGATTATGACAACTAGGTTGCTTAGTCGAATGAGTGATCAATGACTACTAGTTTGATTGTGTATATGGAGAAATATTATAGTATCTTTTATGCAATTAGCCTCATTTGTTGCGAAGGGTTAAAATTAGTCTTTTTTTTTTTTTTAATATATATACGGTATATGTATCAACATTTGACCCTTTTGTATTTTATGAATTTTTAAGTATCGAATACAATATAGTAAATTTGAATATATTATTTTATTTTTATTGATTGGGAGAAAAAAAAATAATATTTTTAAGTAAAATGTCCATCCTAAACATAATTTCTAGCTCTCTTTGTGGTTTGTCGTCTCCATAACTAAAATTACAAAATTTTGATCTCCCAATCATTTCATATTTGAATTTGTTGCATTATCTAGTCCTTTTGAACTAATTTCTTTTCTTGTACAACAACTTTTGTAATTTTTAATTAAATTTTATCTTTTTTTTTTGTAGGTTATAATGGGTGCAATTACCCTGGTGGGAGTACCTAAATAAGGTGAGGAAATTCTTTTGATAGTTAATTAATTAATATTTACAATAAGTGTGGTGGAAGTAACTTGTGGAATTTTATTTGATAGCAGTGTAAATGGTAATGGTTCTTGTAATCTTGTATGAATAATTACCCAAAACTATCTCAGAATGTCTTCATCAAATACACATATATCTGAGAGGAATAGATGAGAGATAGAACTCAAGGGAATGTAGAAGTGTCTCACCTCTATGTGAAGTTGTAATTCAACAACTTATTTATGGTTACTTAAGAAAACTGTTGAATTGAAAATAAACTTTATCTAACATTAGAATTTATAATTAGTCAAATGATCGTATTGAATTATGTCTCTTATTAGATCTCTATAACATTGCTCATATAATACAAATCGTCTTTATTGTAATGGTGCTATTTGGTACAAGTGAATATAGTTGAAGATGATTTTTGATTATATACCTTTTAAATTCCGAGTCCAAATTTAGCACGGAGGCGGGCGTGCAGCCTCTCATCTCCAACAGATAAAGAAAAGCAAGGATGGTTCATAAATTCACATCACATGGGGGTCATTTCTGATCTTGAACTCATACCTTCCTATTATTCTTTTTAAAATAAAATGGTAAAATATTTATTAAGAAGGAATATTTGACGTAAATGAAAAATAATTAGATCTATTGACACAAAACAGCAAACAAATCCATTGTCGTCCAGCGGTTAGGATATCTGGCTTTCACCCAGGAGACCCGGGTTCGATTCCCGGCAATGGAATTTTTTGTTTGAGGTTTTTTTTGGGCCAGACACAAATAATTACTCTTGATTGTCTTAATTATAAAAAAATTTCGGTCATAACCCTTCTAGTTTATCATATCTTCAAGAGCATATTCTCTATTATTAAAAACATCACTAACACCCTATCTAATTTATATTTAAAAATCATTAACATCCCTTATCATTAAATTACCATTTATAACAAAAATAAATTGTCTAAAATACCAAAATTGCTCCTAAATAAATCTCAAACAATCTTTATGTCCAAAATTTGATTAAAATTTATTTTTTTACATATTAAAATTCGAGTTGGTTAAATTTTTTTTTCTGTATATTAAAATTTGATATAAGGTGATTAAATTTTATTTTGTTTTCATATTAAAATTTGAGTTTATTAACATTTTTTTTACGTATTAAAATTCGAACCAATTTAAACTTTACTTGAATTGTTAACCTCGATTAAAATTCGCTTCGAATTGGTTACAATTAATATTTTTTATTTATTAAAATTTAATTTAAGTTGATTAAAATTTATTTTTTACGTATTAAAAGTTGAGTCAATTAAAATTTATATATTTTTATGTATCAAAATTTGCGCCCGTTAAAATTTAATTTGAGTTGATTAAAATTTGATTTGAGCATCAAATAGAATTTTAATCGACTCAAATTTTAATACGTAAAAAAATATAATTTTTAATTTACTCAAATTTTTATATATAAAAATAAATTTTAATTATCTCAAATTGAATTTTAATCATTTCGAGTTTTAATATATAAAAAATTTTAAAAAATAAAGGGGTTCAACCATCCTTACTACTCAAAAACATATTTTAAATTCGTTAGAGGAACGGTAGTTAATATCAAAGGATTAGATAACGTAATATTGAACACTTTATAATAAAAAAGATATTGATAATATTATTTAGAATTAATTTATCGACATAATTTATTAACTTAATTTATTATAATTATTAAATTAATTATGGTCCTAATATTTATTAAAATTCACAGTTACTCTAATTGTTAAGAAGAATTAAATAGATAAATTAGATTAAGACCCACGTAACTGAGTTGTCACGTCTCCACCAACTTTTGTGGGGACATAACACGTCGGATGACGTGGGCCCGCAGTCCTTCAGTCAAATTGCTCGGATTCCCACAGTAGACAAAGCCACCTATCATTTCCATTTTCTCACACGTAACGTTCCATCCGCATTCTGCAATAGTTTCCTCTCTCTCCCTTCAAAGCCCTAATTTTACTCTAAGTGCCCCGTTTTGCATGAATCAGACGTATAGTTCATTGAGTCTTGAATTAGACGTAAAGATGGAAGATTAGCGTTTAATTTAAGCTCATGAGGAAGCTTTGATGTCATTTAATGGTTGAATTTCGAAGATGTCAGTCGCGGAGCTGAAAGAGCGGCACATGGCTGCTACAGTGTCTGTCAATGCTCTCAGAGAACGCTTGAAGCAGAAGCGTCTTGAGCTTCTGGACACCGATGGTTCGATTTTTGTCGAAGTCTTTCTCTTTCTTGTCACTATGGTGCTTCTGGTGTTTTTTTGATTTTTGCCTTGCTATATTAGTTGAATTTGTTATTTGTTTGATTTACTTAGATTCGATCTTTTGTGTTGAATTTTCAGTAGCTGGGTATGCGAGGTCCCAAGGGAAGGTTCCTGTTAGCTTTAGCCCGACGGATCTGGTTTGTTGCAGGACTTTGCAGGGGCACACCGGGAAGGTAGTGTTCACGGTGGATTAATTTTGACTTTGAGATGCGGTTATTGAATACTACGTCATATGCTTACGGGTCTTGATCGTTATTGCATTCGTTTGAATTTTGGCTTTGATCTGTTTCTAGCAATATTGTTGTGTGCTAGATGTATCATGAAGCGAAGTCAGGAATCACATTAAAAAGTTTATATAAGTCAAGATTTATTGCTCATATTTTGGACTCTTGAAACGTTTGACGAGTTCTAGCCTTTGAATCCTGGGATCTAGAGTCTTACAAGTTTTAGGATCTAGACTATTTCTTCGGTTGGAGAACATGTTACTTTTGTTCTGCAAAAGAACTGGTCGATAGACTCAATTAACTCAGATGTTGAGAACCTCGATATTCTTTCTGCTGTTGAATAGCTTTTTACTCTACTAAGCAGTAATAAACAATTAACTGCAAAAATTATTTACTTTAAATCTCTGATTTTGTTTAAAAAGCCAGGGTGCCCTTTTTTCGATGCCACATAAAAATGCAATCGTGCCCTTTTTTCGAAGACAGTTATAGTTTCCAGGAATGATGCCATTTTGTTATCCATTTTCTGACTTTAAACTTTGTTTTGATATTTCTATTTGCATTAGGGTCCCAATAACAATCCCCCCCCCCCCCTTCTTTTCTTCCTTTTGCCACTGTTAAGATTAAAGAGGAGTTTAACACAATATGAGAAAGACAAAGAGAGGTTTTTTGGCATACCCTACCTCTCACTATTGACCTTATATTTATAGTCACTGACCAAAGAAATAAAATATAATAAACGTAAACCCTAATTACCTTAAAGTAATTTTTCTAATTGTACTATAGTAACTTTCTCAACACTCCCCCTCAAGCTGGATTATAGATATCATATAATTTAAGTTTGGAACAAATATTTGCAAGACGAGTACGACTCAAGGCTTTGGTGAACATGTCCGCAAGTTGATCCTCAGATTTCAAAAAAGGAGTTGCAATGTCTCCGCTTAGTATCTTGTTTCGAATAAAATGACAGTTAACTTCAATATGTTTGGTTCTCTCATGAAACACTGGATTAACAGCTATATGAATGGTTGCCTGATTATCACAGAACAGTTGTAACGGTAGCTGAATTGGAAAACCAATTTCCTGAATAAAGTGTAGTAATCATGTCAACTCACTAGTCGTATGGGTCATTGTTATGTACTCAGTCTTGGCACTGGATCGTGCTACCATTGTTTGTTTTTTACTTTTTCATGAAACAACATTACCTTTAAAGAAGGTGCAATAATCAGTAGTTGACCGTCGATCAGATGGAGAACCAGCTTAATCAGCATTCGAAAAATCCTCCACTCCAAGTTGTTCATTAGCTTGATATAACAATTCAAGACCAAGAGCACTTTTGAGATATCGAAGAATACGAATGACTGCATTCCAATGTGGTACTCTAGGACATCTCATAAACTGACTTACCGTATTGACTGCATATGCAATATCTGGTCGGGTAATAGTGAGATAATTAAGCTTCCCAACTAACCTGCGATACCGACCTGGGTTATCAAATAGAGCACCATCATCCATCAACAACTTCTAATTTGGATCCATAGGACTATCAACTGGTCTACTACTCAGTAAACCAGCCTCTTCTAGCATGTCAAGTACATATTTTCTCTGAGATAGACAAATATCTTGCTTAGATCTGGCAACTTTAATACCCAAGAAGTACCTGAGTTTTTTCAAATCTTTTTTATAAAATTTGTCTTGCAGAAATACTTTCAACTTAGTAATGTCCTCAGAATCATTACCAGTAATTACGATATCATCAACATAAACTACCAGTAAAGTATACCCTGCATCTGTCTATCTGTGAAAAATAGAATGATCTGTCTGATATCGAATAAGGCCAAATTCTAATACTGCATCGGAGAATTTACCAAACCATACTTTTGATGACTGTTTCAAACCATACAGAGATTTCTTTAGTCTACACACACTCCCACAATGCTCCCCCTGAACAGTAAACTCAGGTGGCTGCTCCATGTAGACTTTCTCAATCAAGTCACCATGCAAGAATGCTTTCTTGACATCTAACTGAAACAGAGGCCAAGTAAGGTTAGCAGCTAAAGAAATTATAACACGCACACAGGCGATCTTAGCAACAGGAGAAAAAGTCTTTGCATAATCAACCTCATATGTTTGAGTGAAACCCTTAGCAACAAGTCGAGCTTTGAGACGCTCAACAGAACTATCTGGATTAAACTTAATAGTGTACACCCATCGACAACCAACCGTCCGTTTTCCCGGTGGTAAGGGAACAAGATCCCAAATTCTATTCTGATGTAAGGCATCCATTTCAATTTCTATAGCCTTCCTCCAATTTGGATCAGATAAGGCACCCTGTAGAGTCTTAGGAACAGAGACAGTAGAGAGTTGTGTAGTAAAGCAGGAAAAACCAGGTGATAAGGCATTATAGGAAACAAAATTACCAATGAGATGCTTAGTAACACATGATCGAGTACCTTTCCTAAGAGCAATTGGTAAAGAGTTAGAATTACCTGAGGGATTCGGATCAGGAGACGACAAGGAGAGTGGCACGGGCACTTCAGTTGATGACTGCACACGACGGGAATATACACGGAGCGGAGCAGGGGATGGGTACACAATAGAGAGTAGAGTAGGTGACGGTAAGGGAAAAGGTGGCTCAGGAGGCTGCCCAAAATCAAGATTCAAAGGCTGCTTAGGAGCCGAGAAATACAGAATATCCTTATTAAATGTGACATCAACACTAATGAAGTACCGATGACGAGTGGGACTATGACAACAATACCCTTTTTGTGTACGAGAATATCAAAGGAAAATACACTTGGTAGCACGAAGGTCAAGTTTATCAAACCCAGGCCCCAAGTTATGTACATAACCGACATAGCCAAACACTTTAGGAGGTAGGGAGAATGAGGAGATATGAGGTGCAAGAATGGAGTGTAGACTTTGCCCATTTAATACTGATGACGGCATACGATTAATGAGGTGACAGGCTATAAGAACAACATCACTCCAAAAGGCACGAGGTACATGCATTTGAAATAATAGTGTACGGGTAACTTCCAATAGATGTTGATTCTTATGCTCAACAACCCTATTCTGCTGAGAAGTATAGGCACAAGAGGTTTGATGAATAATGTTAGCTTTACGAAGATAAGAGGATAAAGGATCAGATTCATATTCTCTAGCATTATCAGAATGGAGAATACGAATGTGACAACCATATTGTGTTTTTATTTCTTGATGAAAGGTCTCAAATATAGAGCATAACTCAGAACGGGCTTTTATAAGAAATAACCAAGTCACTCGAGAATAATCATCCGCAAAGGATACAAAATAAGGAAATTTATTAGATAAAATATTCTTTATTGGGCCCTATACATCAGAATGAACTAAAGCAAATGGACTCGATGCACGATTATTGACTCTAGACTTGAAAGAAACACAATGATGTTTACTAAGTCGACAAGTTTCACAAAACACAGACATACATGACTTAGACTAGGAACTTGGCACTTCAAATTCTGGAGCAAAGGATGACCAAGCCGACAGTGCCACTGAAAAGGAAATGATGAAGTTTGTAACGCTCGAGGAGATGGATCAAGATCAAAATAATAGAGACCACCAGCTTCATACCCCGTACCAATCTTCCTCTTCGTCTGGATATCCTGAAACACACAGTAGGAAGGAAAAAATGTTACCGAATAATTAAGAGAACGAGTAATTTTGCTAATGAAAAGTAAGTTAAAGAGAAACTAAGGAACAAATAACACTGATGACAACGACATATCAGTACTTAATTGAGTAGTCTCTACAGCTGAAACTTTAGAGGAAGTGTCATTAGCAAGAGTAACACTATGTTGAGAATTGATAGATTGATAAGTAGAAAAGACACCGGATGAACCAGTCATATGGTCAGAGGCGTCAGAGTCTATGATCTAGGGACTGCGAGTGGAGGACAATAAACAAGTGAGAGCGGTACCTGACTGGACAAATGTGGCAGTAGAAGAAGATGGAGCAACCTGCTGTTGGGACATAAACTGAGCATATTCCTCGCGTGTAAGTGTAACTGACCCAGAGTCAGGTGGAGCTGGACGTGAAGTATCATCTTGATAAGAGGCCTAATTAACAACACCCGAAGGCTTGTCATGTAAATCCCAACAGTAATTAATGGTGTGTCCTCCACAACCACAATAAGGGCACAAGCGAGGACCAGATCGACCACCACGACCTCCAGTACGGCCTCCACGTCCCCCACGACCACCATGGTTGCCACGACTAGCTTGAGAACTATCATTATGGGTAGTAGGAACGACAAGTGCCGAGCGATCATGAGATAAACTCCGGTCAACACCAGAAGTCTCGATAGACAATGTAATAGGCTGTAATCGAGAGAAAACCTTAAGGAATGATGGAAGACTAGAACTGCCCAAAATTTGAGAAGGAACAACCTTATACTCAGGTTTCAAATCCATCAAAACACGAACAACATTCAGATCTTCATGCTGTTTCTGCCACATAGCAGCATCAGTGGTAAACAGATGGTAAAGTTTCAGTTCCTCACAGACCCCCGTGACATGGGAATAGTAATCTGCAAGGCTCAGATTGCCTTGTTCTAAACGAAAGTATTGTTGACAAATCTCATAAGCACGAGTAAAATTGCCTGTGCCTGAATACATAATGGCTAAGTGGTCCCAAATTTCTTTAGCCGTATCCAGATAAAGTAAAGTGGAGCTAATGTTAGGCTCAATACTATTCAGTAATAAAGAAATAGTTTGAGCATCTGCCGGCTCCCACTCATCATAACCAAGCATACCTTCTTTGAGTTTCGGGTCTACTAAAAATTTCTTGAGACCTTTACCTTTTAGAAATATTTGGACTGATTGTGACCATAAAATATAATTTGTCCCATTAAGTTTGACTGATGTCATAGGACTATTAAATAGAGCAACAGAAGGCAAATCAGGTGGCACAACACGAGAAGTAACAACAGATATATCATCGTTCTTGGATTCCATAGCAACAGGGAGGCTGACCAATGGTGAACAGTACTGGACAGTAATAATCCGGAGTTGAACAGAACAAGGGAGCTTGCTGGATTGTTGAACTGGCTAAGAAAGAGTCATTGGACTGTTGAACCAGACAATAACAACACACTGGACCGTTGAACCGGGCTGCAAAGAGTCACCAAGCCACTGAACTAGGGACAAACCTTCACTGGATCACTGAACCGGGAAGGTAAGGGGTACTGGACCAATGAATCGGACTGGAAAGGTTCATGGAACCACTGAACCAGAGGAAAAACTGGAAGAACCGGTTTGAACCGTGACTGAACTGGGTCTGAACTGGATCTGGGTTTGGGTCTAGATCTGGATCTAGATTGGGCTTGAACTAATTTAAACTTGTGGACTTGGACCCATTACCCAAACTCGCATCGACTCGTGAGGGTTGTCTTCTTCCACGAGCTAGGGTTTCAACCAAACCCTATTCGCTGGCAGGGCTCACACCAGTCGACACCACTGAGAAACCTCAGCAGCCACACCACCACAGAAGCCACCAGAGGCCACACCAGTCGACGGCGCCACACACACAAGCAACGATGGTACTACCACAGCGACGAGGAACAATACCAAAAACGACTGAGGAACATCAACGACGACACCACATCACCACCACAATGAACAACACCAAGAGCAGCTCAGTAGAGATCACACCATGAACCACGTCACCAACTCAATTTCACGCCAAAGCTTCACTGGTGGGGATGCACAAAATCAGTGCAAACCCATGCGACAGGCGGACTCAGCGAAGACGCAAACCAGGAAGAAAGAGAAGAAAGAAAAGACAGAGAGAAGAAAAGATAAAAAAAAGTGATTAATAGGAACGTTGCTCTGATACCATGTTAAGATTAAAGAGGAGCTTAGCACAATATGAGAAAGACAAAGACGGGTTTTTTGGCATACCCTACCTCTCACTATCGACCTTATATTTATAGTCACTGAACAAAGAAATAAAATACAAATTGTACTATAGTAACTTTCTCAACAGCCACTAAGGACGAGTTCAGACTGCTGTTGACAGTTGACTAATTTAGTGAATTACAGTTTGTATATCCTTACATGGTGTGCTCCTTTTGTAGAGGTGCTTTGTCATTCAGACATATTTTCATTGAATTTTATCTGCATGATGTACTATCATTTGTCTCCAAAGTACCACTCACTAGGATATGTCTACTAATATAGCTAATCTGCCTTTCGACCTATAACCTTATCAATTTGAAATCCATGGTGTTGTCCACTGCACAAGTTCCCTTGGAGCTGCTCTATAGTTTTGAAGGATTTCATTTCAAATCTTTGAATCATATTGTTTCTGGAGTCTAGCCAAATAACCTAAGCAATTTTTATGAAGTATTATAAGAATGCTTGAGATGTTGAGTGTAGCCAAAGAGAGCTACTGAAAGTAGTTGTAAAGTGCAGTTGAGTGGCTATTGTTGGTGATATGGTAATTGATCTATATATGGACGAGATCCTCAGACCAGTGTGCATATAATTTGTTGAGTTCTAAAAGACAGGGAAGGGTTAGATGATTGTGGATTGTTACATACTTGGGTTGATCTCACTTGTATCTTCTATTCACAAATGTTTAATTACTCATAGCTTTCAGTTGCTTGTGGTTACGAGTTCCACTGTAGTGGATATGTGCCTATTATGTTAATGACTAATGATGTGCATGGTGAGTCACTAATATCTATGAATGGTGTCCAAGAAGTTCAAGAGGACAAAAAACTTTTGTATGATTTTTTTACTTCTATTTGGGTATCTTAAATAAATTTTGAATTTCATAGTTTTTATTAGTATAAAAATTAACCGCTGCGAGACATAATTTAGATGATGAGTAACATAGAATTTTAATCTCAGACAAAAATTTCAGGTATATTCACTGGACTGGACTCCAGAGAAGAATCGGATTGTCAGTGCATCACAAGATGGAAGATTGATAGTGTGGAATGCTCTCACAAGCCAGAAAACCCATGCTGTTAAGCTACCTTGTGCATGGGTCATGACATGTGCCTTCTCTCCGAGTGGACAATCTGTTGCCTGCGGTGGCCTTGATAGTGTATGCTCCATCTTCAACCTGAATTCTCCTACTGACAAGGATGGGAACCTACCTGTGTCAATAATGCTTAGTGGGCACAAGGGTTATGTTTCGTCATGTCAATATGTTCCAGATGAAGATACACATCTAATAACCAGTTCCGGTGATCAGACATGTATTTTGTGGGATATAACTACGGGCCTGAGAACTTCTGTTTTTGGGGCGAATTTCAATCTGGGCACACTGCTGACGTGCTGAGGTATATTTGCTTCTCTTCACAATTCTCCCCTTCCTTTTTGTATGCCATGGTGTTGAAGGACTTCTGTGTGAAGTTGAACTGCTTCTTGGATCAAATATATTTTGGATTTTCATGAACCTGATGAAATTTATTTTAGTGTGAATTTTTTATTTGTCAATTGGGAGCAAAAGAATAAAGCTTCAATTTTCTATAAGACCGTTTGGGAGCTTATGTTTCCTGAGTCCTTGCTGGCATAAGGTTGGGTCTGCAGAACCAAAGACCTTGATTCCTCTGTTTAGCCACAAACACTGATCTCCTATACATTTTTGAATTTTATTATGCTTAAGATCTATAGAATTGTGTTTGAACACTTTTGTGATACAATAGAACTCATACAAGCTTGCTGCACATTTTAGTGGGTGTGTAGGATAGGTATTTAAAAGTTTTGGCTGTTTATGAATTTTGCTGGTTTCTTTTCAATGCTTTTGCTTTTATTGCATGTATTAGTAAGATATTATTTACCTTCAATCTAATGTTGGATTTTAATACTTACCTTTTGTATATATGACTTTCTAGCTTGGATTTTGATTCTAACCCCCCCTCTTTCCACCTTAAATGCCTGTGAAGATATTGTGAAGATTATGCAAATTTTCTTACGAGATTGTGACTGGCTGATACTTTTTCAAGTTTCCATGTGTTAATTACCTAGATTTTCTCACAGATTCATAATGTTTTTGTTCTTTCAGTGTCTCAATCAATGGAACAAATTCAAGAATGTTTGTGTCTGGGTCTTGCGATACAACTGCCCGTTTGTGGGACACTCGTGTTGCAAGTCGAGCAGTTCGTACATTTCATGGTCACAAGGGAGATGTTAATACTGTGAAATTCTTCCCAGATGGAAATAGATTTGGAACTGGTTCAGAAGATGGAACTTGCAGATTATATGATATTAGGACTGGGCACCAGCTCCAAGTTTACCAGCAGCAGCATGATGATAATCACATCCCTCACGTGACTTCAATTGCCTTCTCCATATCAGGCCGACTTCTCTTTGCTGGGTACTCCAATGGTGGCTGCTATGTATGGGACACTTTATTGGCAGAGGTATATAGCAACTTCATCTTGGTTACAATGCTCATGCATCTGCCTATTAGTGTGTACATCACAATTCTTTTGCGCGACACTTATCATTGTAATCAGGCAGCTTTACTATCTATATTTGCACTTCAGTTTATGAATGTGATTCATATGTTTGTGTTTATGTTGCATTATGTTCGGTATTGTTCCTCATTTGGCTATCTTTTTTTCCCTGCCAGAAATATAATCTATTCAATGATAAATGGCCTATCATGTGCAATAAAGAGCAAAATTTCTTCATTGATACGAGATACAAAAACCTGAAACTTAGAGAGGTTGCTGTATTCCCTTATCAGGAAAAGCTGATTATATCGAGGAAGGAAAAATATATGCATATTTCTATCATTCATTTAGAAATAGATGCATGAGTGTGTTTGTGACTGGATTACAGAGTATGAATTGCCACAAGTTGTAGTTTTACCTAATATTTTCTCGATGAATAGGTGGTTTTGAATTTGGGGTCTCTTCAAAACTCCCATGAGGGTCGGCTCAGCTGTTTGGGATTGTCTGCTGATGGGAGTGCCTTGTGTACAGGGAGTTGGGATACAAACCTGAAGGTAAGTCAACAGTACAACATTTCTTTTGGAAGCACATTGAGACACCATGGATCATAATTATTATTTTGTTGGTTCTTCATTTTACTTGGCTGTTTTAACGGACTCATAAAAACAAATGCAGTTCACTATTTGTACAGCAAGAACTAGAAAAAAATACACTTCCTACATTTTGCATTAATTCTTTACTACTGTTGTGACATTAAGATCACAAGCAATGAGATTTTCTCCCCCTCGCAGATTTGGGCATTTGGAGGGCATAGGAGAGTGATCTGAGTATTAAGGTGTCGGCTTCCTAGGATTCTCATTTGTAAAGCTTTCCAGGGCATTGTGCTTCCTCTCTGAATCTCTTTGTAATCCTGGTAAGATCTCAGTGATTTGAGAAACCATAACCCCGACTGTTCCTCATTGTATTATTTAATGGAATCCGAAACAGTTTTTAAGTTGGATAAAGGAAAAATATTCTTCAAGATCGGTTGGAGATGCCACTTTCTTTGTTTTGTTTGCCTTTTTGTGTTTATATACCTCTGATTCAGTCACCCCTATAATCAAATTTGGTGAACAAGTTTGATTTTTGGACTCTCTAGTAGGTATATCAATCGTGTCGGACCTTACCGAGTTCGTGTCAAAAAAATAATCCATCCATATCTAATTCATTTATTAGTTGTGTCATGTTGAGTCTACTCTCGTATACGAAACGGGTGACTTGAAAAAGACTCAAATCTTTTAAATTCATGTCGTATAAATGAGTTATCATATTTTGCCACCCTACTCTAGCCCCTCGAGGTGGGTTGATTATTCTTGAAGATGAAGGAATACGCAGTGCGGACCAGTTCTTTTGTGGAGGATAATTTTTTTTTGGAATAATTAGCATAGAACCGACACTGCAAGATATACACAACCACCAAAATGGCGCAGGGACTCGGGTACTAGCGTGACTTCAAGGGTCGCTGGTGAGAAGACAAGGACTAGCAAGATTTGCCATTACCTCAAGCTTGCCACATTCTATCATTGTAGGTGTAGCTGTCAAAGAGGCTAGACTCCAACTTTGAAACAAAGAAGGAATCAAGATCAAAAGGGCCTCTAGACTTCGACTTTGAAACAAGGAATGGCCGTTGGATTTGGGTTGAACATTGTACCCCTATCAGATCCATTTCCGGTACTTTTCTCCTTTGATTTTTTTCTTGAGAAATGTTATTTAGATTTAAATTGTGGACTTGATAATTAAAATCATTTAATAGATAATGAGTTTTAATAAATGCTGAGATTTATAATAAAATCAATTATTGTAATTATTAAGTATATATTTTAAGTTCAAGTAGGTTATTCATTTTTTTTTTTTATAGATTACTTAATAAGAGTTAAAAGGGGACTCGTTTGTATATAATGAATTTTATTTAAAGGTGTGGCATCTATCAAAGAGAAAAGTTAAAAAATTATATAGAGATTTGTTATGCTAGTTTTATGTAGGGATACTACCTTGGTTCTATTAAATTAAAAAATAAAAAAAAAATAAAGGGACATGAAGGGAGTGAGATTTTTTATAATTTACTTCTCTGATTTTTATTTTTTTTTCCCGTTTTTCTCCTTATTTGATCTCCTACCTTGATATCAAATAATCGGTAAAAATTAAAAAATAAGAAATAAAAAAAAAATGTTGGATGAGATCTGAAATGACATGAAACTGCTCTGTGATGATCTTAAGATCTATTGGCTCAGATTTACAAATAACAAAACGATTCTCATGTGCTGATGCATCATCTTATCCTTTCCTTCTTTCTATAGAAAAAATATTTAATGTAATGGGGAGTTTCACTCGTTCAATAAACCACTATTTTATAGGATAAGTGAAGAGCAATGTTACATGCATTTAAAAAATAGACTTGACTATTGATTTTACTATGAGTCTCACTACCTATTCAATAGTTGAGATTATCAAGTTTAATTTTTAAGTCTATCTAGTATTACTCTCAAGTTAATCAGAGTCTCGCGTACGTAGAAATAGTGGGGTCATGTTATTAATATAATTGTAATTCTTTTATTAAACACTGATTCCATGTAGACGTGGTGTATGTTGGCATCTATATAACCACCACACACTTTCGATTATCAGTTAGTTACTTTTTCCCACGCAAAAATGCTTCACTTCTCTTACACCCCAACGACCTCCTCATTCTCCCCCAACAAAACCCCTAATTTCCACCACTCTCTCTCCTCCTCCCCACACCCTTCACTCTTCCTCAAGTTCCGAACATCTCACCGGGAGAATCTCCGGTACCTCAAATCCATCGGCATCATCAACCCAGAAACCAAAGTCCACAAAATCCCATCCCCAGAAACCCTAGTTCGAATCATCTCCACCGTCAATTTCCTCAAATCCAAGGGTTTTTCCGAACTCGATTTCCCTAGGCTTGCCTATCTCTGCCCTAATCTCTTCTCCCCTGAGTTCGACCTTGCCGTTATCGAACTCGTCTTTGATTTCTTAGCCTCCGATTTAGCTGCATCACCTGAAGAATCGCGTGGTTTAATCCTCCGCTGTCCTCACATTCTCGAATCTAACGTTGAATTTTGTTTAAGGCCAACACTTAACTACCTCAGAAATTTAGGGTTAGAAAATTTGAATTCACCAACTACCTTAAATGCTCATCTCTTGGATACTCGTGTTGAGAAACTGAGAGAGAAGGTTAGGTTTTTGCGAAGTGTTGGGTTTTCGTACGAAGAATCGGCTCGCATTTGTGCTAGATTGCCGGCGATATTTGGGTACAGTACTGAGAATAACTTGAGGCCCAAGTTTGAGTACTTAGTGGGGGAGATGATGAGAGATGTTGAAGAATTGAAGAGGTTTCCTCAGTACTTTGCCTTCAGTTTGGAGAAGAGGATTGCCCCGAGGCATTTGCATTTGAAGCAGAGGAGTGTTCGGATCCCATTGAAAAGAATGTTGCTGTGGAGTGATCAAAGGTTTTATGCAAAATGGAAGTAAAGATTTGGTAATTTCTCTCCTCAATCCCGACTATCTTCCTCATTTTAGTTTTCGATTGTGTTTCTCATTTGTCCCTCCCAAGTTTTAAACCATATTTTAGAATTTAGTTGGTCCCACTTGATTCTCTAGAGATTCTACTACTAATTAAAAATCAAAATATGTATGTATCAATGGTAAATATTGATTTTTTATGTTGCATATTTGAGGGTGCGAATCGTGTCCTTTTACGGGCATTTTTCTCCTCTCCACTGTTAACGATGAATGAAAGTTGTAATAGTTTTACTGATCTATATAAAAAAATAGAGTAAACTACACATATGATCCTCAAACTGTGATTCTTTTGTCAATTAAATTTTTGAATTTTTTTTTTTTGGTATCAATTGAGTCCCGAAACTGTCTAATTGTGTCAATTTAGTCTTTTTTGCTACTCTTGTTAAGAGTGTACCACTCGTAAAACTATATGACACAAAAACATAGAAGGATTTAATTAACACAATTAGAGAGTTTATGGGTTCAATTGACACACAATAAAAAGTTCAGGGACTTAATTGACATGAGCAGTTTATTCCAACTTATTTGTCTGATCTGTTATAATTTTTTAACGGAGGTAGACAGGCGTACAGCCATAGGTTTAATTGACACAATTAAAGAATTGACTCAAAAAAAAATAATATGCTTAATTGACATAAGAATCATAATTTGAGGGACATGTGTAATTTATTCAAAAATAACACGGTTTATCGTAGATTTTTAGAGTGCTTATTAAATTGGTCTTGCCACCAATTGCTGCACCTCATAGTTTCATCCAATTTTTAGAATAGTCTTGATGATGATAATTGTTGGCTTTTGCCATCTCATTCTCTTTCCGGTGCGCGTGAATAGTGTGCATTCTGTCATTTTTAGAACAAATGGTGGAAAGAGCAATTAACATTTTATTTTGTTCAAAATATTAATTTTTAACCTTTGGTCACTAACCATATGGTTCCCATTTCATAGAAAAAAACGAGAGAATTTATATAGGGCTTTCTCCATGAGTTGATCGACAAGCTGTTATGCAAGCTTGTTTTGGGGGAATGGACTTGATGTAACAGTAAAATTATTTATTGTACTCAGAATTCGAGTCACAAAAACAACTTTTCCACATGCATATACCAAACCTTACTTATACACTGCAGTGGCGCGAGCTGTTGGTGGCGTCCATTTGGGGTACTGTTACTTTGGAGGAAGTTGACTCAGAAAAAGCATTAGGGTTAAGCCATTAGGTAATTCCATCAGCTGTACACACCAGTGAACAATGTCACATTTAAGCATTTACCCGAATTTTGTTAAAGCTCGTTCTCACCACGGTCAGCAAATAATTTCAATAAATGAGTTTTTAATAATTGAGATCATGCTTTCTCCATGTTAGCATATAATCCATGAAGAATGAGCACAGCCATTTTACTCAACTCAAAACTGTCGGAATGAAAACAAAATGACCAATCTGTCAATCCCTCCTCAAAATAGCTACACATAAATGAGCAATAAGTAAACCAATCAGTCTTTGTTGAATGAGCCTACACCGAGCTTTATCCTTAAAACGTACTGTAGTAAACGAATTCCCTCAGCATGTCGAACTGCTTGAACACCGTACCGTGATAGCTGTTCTCACAGGCAGTGTCTGTTTGCTCCAAGAAAGGAGAAACAACTATAATGAATATGAACTGTTTGTAAATGCAACCAACTAGCCGCTTGCTACAATTTCATGAATGGCATCACTAACGGATTCATCCTCAGATCTGACAGCCAGCTTCATTGCTACCTCTTTTGGTCCATCAATTCCAAATGACAGCCGAACAAGTACCTTCACATTGCCTATGTACACACCCGACAACAGACATGTGTGGGATCTTGAATTACTTGGGACAACCTCTGTGCTCTGAAATACAACAGGGAATCGGGAAAGGAAGAAAAAAAGGTAATCTTTCAGCTTCCATAAATATGCACAGAAGCAGCATCAGAAAATGTAGCGTTGTTATTAGTGTAGTAACACATCCACAGAAGAGTTGGAAGGCTCTTGATTGTGTTTTACTGAGCAAATGTTACTTAATAAAACACAAGTTCTCACGTAACGGGCCTGGACAAAGGGACTCAGAAATCTGCTAATGTGTACCCTGGAACTATGTTTAATTATTGCAGTGGATCTAATTTGCCCAATATCTCTCTAGCCTATGGAGATGTAAACAGTAAACCAACTACATGGATGAGCTAAATCCGTGACAGATACAGGCACTGGCCTCGAGGATTCCAATTTTGTCAATGGAAACTTCTAAGAAGTTATATTATTCATCCAGTGGAGTCCCATGAACTTAATAAGTTCCACATCTCTTTGAACCATCTTCATAGCCGTAGTTAAATTCTTTCTAATTTTTCAAATTGTAAGTGGTCAATAAATTTTTTGGCTAAAAAATGCAAACCATTAAACTTAAAAGACTTACTTCACAAGGCTGCATGCCAAGAAGGTTGATGACCGTACTCACAGCTTCTGCCAAGCTTTCCCTAGGCCCAAGACCATATTCGTCTACCCGCTCATAATCTGGGCCAATGCTTTCCCAGGCATTCCTGAAATTGGAGACCCCTACTTTTAGCATGTAATCTGCTGCAACAACCTCAAGGTCCTCCAGCTGGTATTCATCTTCCACACCATCATCCTCAGCCTCGCCAGTAGATGGATCAACCTGGGAAAACAATCCAACCAATAAACATAGGAAACAACAATTACAACAGGTGCTTTGATTATCACCACATCCATATAATATCATAAGAAGGATGATGGCAAAGTACAAAAGAAAAACAAATATTAACAAATCGGGCGTAGGCATATAGATTAAGACCATGGATTCTTATGTGGTCTATGGATGTACCATCTGTCAAAACATATAGGCACAGCTGAACATCAATTAGTTGAACACTCCGGTAATGAACAATAAATTGAAAGTGCTCATTAAATGTAAGTCCCAAACAACGGTACAGTTCCCTAGTTGCTAAGAAGTTTTAGAAAGCTAATAACAAGAGTACGAAACACAATTTAACAAAATAAAAATGAAAACAATTAGTAATGCGGAGCCAATGCCAAATTTTTGTCCCATTCAAATGAAACACAAAGATGCAATAAGATGTACACAGGAAAGCTAAGCATAATTGAACTACAGGACAACCCAGGAGGGAAACACCGATAGATATTCCACTTATCATATACTCACATATTATTGCATTATTCTATCACCATTCTACACAGCTTTCTTCTTCCTATACCATTACATTATACTATACATCTACACCAAGGCAAAGATGTATCTAGACATGTCTATGAGGTGTTTGACTCATGTCAACCACGAAGGCCATGTACACCATTACCAAGGCATACCGAAACATGTGTGCAGGCATGCTGAAATGTCATCTCTAACATGAATGACACAAACACAACCTCTAAACACATTTTTCAGCGTCAATAGAACAATCAGTAATCATAAACCACAAAGAGCAAAAGAGAGAAGATGCAAGCACAGCAGAGAAAGATGACCTCTTTAACAATGAACCTCAACATGTTTGAGAATTTTCCAACAGCAGGGACACCTTCTGGTTTCTCGAATGCCACAAATGTCTGCCTTGGTGAGTCGTATGGAAGCAATCTTAATGGCCTGGATGCTACTTCAGAAAATTCCTCAGCTTCTGAAGCATCCACAATAACACTGACCTGGTAGCATAAACATGATATTTGAGTAAGAAGTTGCAAAATAAGCTCAACATCTATGTAGTACTGCTTTGGGAAATGGTCATTACATTTTCCAGCAACTGTTCAGGAATTGTATTGGTGCAATTGTACTGAAAAACAACATGGCTATCAAAAATGTGCTTGACAACATTAACTGCGTATTCAGTTTCAGCTTCTGTAAGCTCCACAGGTGCTGAGGACTGGATCAAGAAATTGAGAGAATGAAAACCTTCTGAATCAGGAAAATATCATAATGATCCACAGTAAACAAGTATGTTTGCAAAGAAGGTTCAGTCAAAGAACCTTGAAAAGCTTTCCAAAGTTTGAGAACTCTGGGATAGAAGAAAGCAACTTTTCATAAGCATCAACTGTTGATGCAGGAGCTGTCGGAGCAGCACCCAAGCCAGTTGGCTTTTTACCTGGGGCTTTCTTCTCTGCAAGTGGCTGAGATTTAACCTCCTTGGGCACAGAAGCAATATTAAAAGATTCTTCTGAAGGCTCCTACATCCATACCAAAAACGAGATCATAGCTTCTACAGCCCACAACAGACGAAGAATTATTGAGACAGCAACTCGGTAAGACAACTCACATAGTTCTTCAAACTTGTCTCTAGGTTGACCAGTGGGACATCAAGTGACCCAAATAAGAATTCCTTCACATCTTTATCGCTTTCAACAACTGAACTATCCTCTGTGATAGTATTCAGATACAAAGTAGCCCTATCACGGACCTGCAAACAGATTGCACAAGCCTTTTTCAGAAACCAGAATGCTATACAAAGGGCAGCATAAGGTACCACTGAAACAAAAAACACAAACAAATATGACCAATGAACAAGAAGTATGGCCTCAACCTAAATGCTTCTCAAGTTGCCACAGAAATGGATAATTCACAGCCTAGAGGTTTGTTATGTGAAACAACAGAACATAGCATACAACCTCAGGCAAAATATTCCCACATTCAGTTGGCATGCCAAACAGCTATAGGACAGGCCTTCTTATGGCTCCATATGCAAAAGACGATATTATATGCAAAACTAACCACTGGTCGCTCCAGGTTGCAGGTAACAAATAAACATCAGGAGACACAATAAAAAGCAAGAACAAAGCAGATACCTCCCTTCAATCTTTCAGGACAATGGGAAAGAGAAGTTCTAAACTAAACCTAAACTCTTTAACCATTTGGAAGCTAGACATAAACAAAATCTTGGGCTAAAATAACTTCAATAAGCCAAGATCTGAAACCATCTCATGGATATTTTGCAGTCCAATCTTCAAAAGAAAATTTAATAATAACATGATTATTAAGCTTCCATGAACTTGATGGATAAATTAGCATTTGTAATAGTATGCATGTAATCATTTGTGTATATATTCTTAACCATAAATACCAAAAAGTATAAAATAAAAACTGACCTCGTCGTCAATGTCATAGAGGCAACGCCTCAACAACACAAATATGCGGGGCTGCAACAAAAATATTGCAATCATTCCACTCCAAGTTAGGAACTCACCAAGTCAATGACAATTGATGTTTATAGATCGAAGAAAGCAAGCTTACCTTCAATGAATCAACCGTAGCACCAAACTTTGCCAATGTGCTCACTGCACTAGCCCGAACTGTTGCATTCTCAAGTATTACTCGATTATAGATATACCTTATGTATTTACTAGGATCTGAGGTCTTCGGTCCCTCAATTCCAAGAAAATGGAGGATCTAATAATGAAAGGATAAAATAAAGGGCATTAAAACAAGCTGAGAACCATTATACACTACTAAGTGAAGCAAAAGAGAAAAACTAAGAACAAAACATATAGTTCATCAGTAGAAAATATTTCAACCTGTGTAGAAAGATATGTAAATTCACAATCCTCGATGAATTCACAAAGATGAATCAGCCCAATTTCTTTTGCCTCTGGGATATCTCTAATAAGGATCACAATAGAATCAACAATTGCCTTTTTGTAGTCAAATCCACCTTCTTCCCTCAGTATATTGCTTAAGAAATTCATCCTAAAAAGGGAAGGACAAGGTATAAGGCATCAACACATAATCAACCACTAGAAAATGAATAGCCATTTTGTACATGAGAACATAACATGCAACGTAAAAGTTTCAAAGAAAACTTAGAGCACAAATGACAAGCCTAAGACCACTTATTTATGTTAAGTTTCTAGGTTTACTCACAGGGATCTGTACTTGAGGGGGAACTTTATACACAATGATCTAATTGCTTCCACCACAACAATCTTGAACTCATCAGCAATGTCAGACATGAAATTGGTAATTTGTTTCATCAACCGTTCAACACTAGATTCATTCCCAGTTTTTAGCAGTGTGGTAATAGCAAGAGTTGCTATGCTTCTATTTTGATCCGAAATCAAGCTCTCCATATCTATATTGCAATTTGTTACAGCCATAGGATGTGACATTGATACCTGTAGACAATTAAATTCATAATTGGTTAGGACAAAAAATATTTTCTTGTTCCACACAAAAAGGAAATAACTGGCAGAAATTAAAATCACTGGCAAAACATTATCCCTCTAGGGAAAGATAGAATTGATAGGAGTGAAAATCACTGGAAATATTTTTTTGGATATGGAACTACAGCGAAACCAATTCTTTGCAAAATAACAATGAATGTGGGTTCCAATTTTCCAGAAGAGAGTTCCACTCAAGATACATAATTGAGGTTTCTGTTTTCATACAACTATACTGAAACAAGATTAAAAGAAACATTCTGATAGCACGACCCCCATTTTAAAGTTCACAAACTTTCTAATCAGCATTATAATCAAGTGATAATTCCACAATCAAAGCATTGACAGGTAACAACCCAAAATACTCGTGCTACAGAATTATCTAACAATTGCTTGATTATTTGGTAAGGGTAAATAAAATTTTGGCTGCACTAATGACTTATAACGTTGAAGTTCACACAAATTTCGTATGACTTCAAACCTTTTACATATACCCTAAAACCATCCAGGAATCTAGTTGAAATGCTTCCTCCGAATAACATTATCAAGGTCCCCATACCTCTGATACTTAATTTAAAAGTTTTCATCATGTGTGCAGCACGTCAGTTATTAAACTCAGCACCAACCAGAACAACTATATCCCAGTATGATCTCAAGTCCTTATGTCTTCGTGTCTAAGTCCCACGATAAGTTTACCCTTAATTTTCTCTTTTTGGACAAGAAGCCTCCATATTATTGATGACTAAATAGATAAAGGAAAAGAACAGGGATACAAATAATAAGTAGTTCCAATCCACAACAAGGAAATCGATCAAGCTGTTGAGGGAAAAAGTGAACTGCTGCAGACAAAAATCACCTATATGCCACATTACAGAGACAACTTAGCATAGGAGCAGCAAGAACAAGATATACATATCAAGCACAGACAATTTTCTTCAAGCAGCTTCAAAAAGAATCACCTTGTTCAAAGTTCGGACAGCAGCAAATCGAAGCACCGGCTTCGAAGAACTCAAGAAGAGCTGCAGAACAGTAATTGCTGGAGTCAATTCTCGACTAGTTACACCACTTAACTCTGTGATTGCCCTAGCTGCTTCAAAAATAACCATTTCAGCTTTGTGGCGAAGACATCCCTCAAGATAGTCATAAAATGGGCGATCTCCAGTTTGGTTGTTCACACTTGATTCTCTGATGACCTAAAGACATTTGCCATGCACTTTTTAATCTATTGATAAGTATGACAACAAAAAAGGACAGTCAATCAACAGTAAACTCTGTTTCATCATAAAAAATGCACCTGACTAGTATAACGAATCAACAGGCATTGAGCCAAAGGTGAACGAACTGTCCCCCTTGTCAAGCTGGTAACCAGCTTGCTGACAGCTAACCGATCATTTTGTCGTATCTGCAAGATTGACGAAATTAGTCAAGACATTTTAATTAAATGGAATAGTATTCACAGCCTTTCACCATAAATGCTCGATTTTTGGTGCCATGGGGTTATTGCTAGTGGTTAATGTGATAGTTTCAGCTTTTCAATCTTCTTCTTTTACTAAGTAATCATTTTGAGGAGTATTTTTTTATTTAGTATGCAATTTAAAATTAAAATGATAGAGAAAAAATAAGAGAGGTAAGTGTGGATTATTGAGGTATCTGGTATTGGAAAGTGTGTTGGTTGAGTTGTCTGACATTGATGTCATTAAAAAAAATGATGTTTTTGAGTGGGGATAAATTTTGTATCATTGTACCAAAGTAGATGAGAATTGGATAAATCTTGACCATTGTGTTTTTATACGTTGAGAATTCAACTTCTTAGGTGTAATATTAAATGGATGAAATTTTTCTTTTTTTAATTACAATTACAAGTAAACCCATAGTCATGCGAAATAAAGTGTGTTCCATGTGTAGTCAATATGGAACAGTCAATAAAACAGGATAAACCAATACAGTACGTGAAAAAGTCATTCCATTCTTGCAGAAGAGACTATTCTTGGCATTTGGCAGTAAAAGCAAACAATACGTTTGATAAAGGATTATTGATAAAGGATACGTTTGACAATACGTTCTTGGCATACGTCTATGTGTGCCCGCCTAAGGAGAGTCAGAGACCGAGAAGAGGAGGAAGGGAGAGTATGCCTGTCTTTGGGGAGCATGGACATGAGCATATGGATGCTGTGACCAGGCAAAGAAAAATCACATCACAAGGAACATTGGAAAGAATTACAAGTGGCCTGATGAGTTAAAACCCCTGGAGTTTACTAGGGAATCGCCACAGATACTACACTAAGCTGGGGAAAAGCCGCCACAAAAATTGGGGAGACCACAACTGAAGGGCCATTAAAAGAAGGGCATGCAGTTTGCCTTGTGATTCAATTTAAAGGCCATATTGGAATTAGTACTTTTTTTGGGTTTTTGGGAGGGAGGGGAGCTAGTAGAATTGATAGGCAGAATAGCCCTATTCTCAGACTATGAATATCCAGAAAGCATGATTCGGCAATACTCAAAACAGGTATAGATATCAACATCCTAGTATAGCATTACAGACGCTACAAAGCTTTATGAATCATTTTCATCAAAAATTAAGCTTTGGTGTCAAGTAATTGCACATTAAGATATCATCAAATGCAGATGCCATGTCACAGACTCATTGCGACCTTCATTTCACAACATTAAAAAGTGTCTCTATGTTATCATAGCAAGTTCAGCCACAAGCTACTTGCTGCAAAAGAAATGGAAACTTATGCTACTAGAAGTCAACAGCTATCCAAGTATGCAACCACCGAAATCCATGGAAAAAAGGAAGGATGCTTAAGATCCTAAATGATAAGAAGTTGAGAAATAAATGATTGTCTTAAATTCATTTCAGCAGGCAAAAAGATTTGAGAAGAGAAAATGTCAACTATTTTGTAGAGGTTTTCGTAAATTTGTCTTTTAATATTCCCTTGTCTCTCAAAATTTTCTCCATCACTTCTCTCATTGACAAAATGAACCAGCTAATTGAAAAATGACATCATACATGCAATACTTCTATTCAAACCCTACGGAAAAAAATACATCAAAGGAGTTGCACAGAAGAGGGATAAAACTCCCTAGATAAGAATAGAAGAACTATCGAAAATTGACAAAGAAACATTGGACACAATTTTTTTGACGGGTAAGTCTACATACTGAAATACAGGAAAAGTACAATTAGACATTAGAGCAGACCAATCCGCAAAATCTAAAGCATAACATGCACAAGTTCCCAACAAATGCATAAAAAGTGGCAATTTCAGGGGCACAACATTTCCAATCAATTATCACATATCTCAAAGTATTCAATTGGAAAATGAGACAAAAAAGAATAAAGTGACTCAAAGATCATCAACGGCTGTCATACCTGTTGGAGCAAAGCAAGGGCATGGAACTGTACAAGAGCAGCCCTTGATTGAACAGCTTCCTGCACCTCATTGCTCCACCTCTTCACTATTTCCGGGTTTGTCTGCCAAGCAATTAACAAACAATAAGGCAAAATTCCGAAATATAAAATTTAACAGTTCCACACAACAATTTGATAGTACCTGAAGTAAATGGATTCCACTAACAAGGGCTGCACTTGCAACCACTGGGTTTTTGTCAACAATTGCTTGTTTCAAGTATCTCTCAATCTGGGTCAGAAGTGTTCCATCTGTAATACGACAGAGAACACGTATAGCGTTTGCCCGGTACATGTCAGTCTTGCTATTCATGTCCTTCATAAGAGAGCTAGTGACAATAATAACCTTTTACAAAAAACAAAATGTAAAATGTCACTGTCTATTACCAAGAACAAAGGCTTGCATTAAAAAATAAACAGAAAAACAAATGGCATGTAACCTCATCGGCAGAGGGAGAAAGCTCCTTTATCATCAAATAAACCATTCTCCTTAAGCCTATGTCTCTTGACTGGAAAAGTTTCGTGACGGCAAAGAAAACTTCTGTGGCTTCAATCTATTACATTTAAGAAAACAAATAATAAGTGAGAGGACAAATTTAAACATTACACAAGTAAATTTGAACAACAAAAATTGATCACCTCCAGAAAATGTAGCAATGAAACCTAAAATAGCAAGCATATTTCACAAAACTTATAAAATCTGCTTAGATATGCGAATTAACAAAGACTGAGATAGAGCTTGAAAGTTTCTCCATTGAGCCAGGCCAACATATGAGTTATGCTCGTCCTTTTGTCAGAAATTCAGAACTCCAGTACAGGTTCGAGTTTATCTGAAGTGATGAATCTATAATTACTTTGACCTACACATATTGCTTTCCTTTTCTTTAAATCCATAATAGCTATCGAATTTTCAAAAATTATTGTTCGAATTGTTTCTTATATTAGTCTCATATTAAAACAGGTATGCTCTTGAATATATTGCTGAAATTTATTTCTTTCATGCCAGCTGGCTTTCAATTCCAATTAAACAAATATGAAACAACTGAGAATTCCATTCTGATATAACACATCAACTTAGACTTTTGCATCCAAATATATATGCACTTTCTTTTGTTCAACTTTTTCTCGTTAAATCACAAGTCATTCACTAAAATATTGAACATTTGCAGAAAAAAATAAACAATTTTTTCCAAAAGAATGTTCTGGTTTCACAGGTTATGGTAAAACCTAACAAAGGAAAACTGAGTTCACCAACACATTTTTCTACAAGTAGACAATGTTATCTTAAGATCCAATGAACAGAAGTACTGAATAAAAGGTCTGACACAAAATCTTTTGAGTGTAACAAGAAGAGGCATTCTTCAGACCATAAATCTTCTCAATCAGACTTTCAGGAACTTTCTTTTGACATTAACATTACTTGAAGGCCAAAGATGCTGTCACAGCAAGTCAGAAACACCTCTTAAACTAAAATTTTGGTTCCAAAGTGATATATCGTTATACTGATAAACTCTTACAGTGATCGATGGTGGGGGTGAGGGGGAGGGGGACGAGAATCGTTGCGAAAGAAAGAGAAAATGAGGGTAGGTAATGCTATCGAGAAATGTTAATATATCACAAGCTGCACATAGTTACAAAGCCATGATAGAGATTTGCACTAGATTCTCTTTCTTGTTTTTCTTTTGTTCTGTTTTTTTTTTTTTCGCTGGGGGACGGGAAAGAGGAAGTGGATTATCTTTAATATACAAACCTGACCTTTGTGAATGTTTCCCCTTGATTTAGAAGATACAGAAGCTTTGTGATGACCTGAAATGCAAATGAATAAATTCCAGTGAATAAAAATTTGTTGAAGAAAGAAGAAGGCGAACCAAAGCAGAGGTAAAATTAGCAGGGAGAGCGCAAAAAACACCTGCGAACATCTCCTGGAGTCCAACTGAGGATCATTGAAAACCCTAGCCTCCTGGAGAACAGCACCCTTCTCAATCCCTAGAAACGGAGAGTATTCTGTTGCAATGCAATTTAAAACACACACATAAACACAATGAATATCAAATCTAAGTTAACATCTAACAAAATGAAACAATAATCAGAACACTCGGATCTATAGATAAATCAAGTGATCTAAGAACTTGAGGCCACCAAATCGGCTAGAATCTATCAAATACACCCGTCCCGGTTATTACTTTACATTCGAGCCAAATCGACTGATCTAAGAACTGTATCGCAGCCTAATCAACCAAATTGAGTGTAGTATTGTCACTAGAGATTTACAACTGGGTCAACCTATTCAAAATTTGTAAAAAAATATGCAGATCTGAGAAGAAAAGATTTTATAGTCTCAGGCGCCAATCCGGAAATTCCAACATTGAAAGCGAGCAGGAACCGAATCAAGAAAATCGGACACAAAAATTGGTGTTACTAAACATAATTTATGGAGAATTGTGGAATTCATGAAGCGTACGTACCTTCGTCATCGCGATCATCGTCCTTCTTCACGAGAGGCTGCGCCATTGAGAGATCGCAGAGATTACAGAAATCGGAAATGGGAAAAATGAAGAAAGTAAAACTCGTTTTGACGAGAGAGCAATCGCAGATCTCTCTTAATTGACACACACACACATACACTCTCTCTCTCTGTATTTATCGGCACGAGTGAAGTCGATGAGTAGAAATTACAGATCTCTCTCCCTACGCGTTTGAGTGGAGATTTTAATTCTTTATTTATCCCTTAAATTATATCATTTATATTAATTAACTCACTAAATAATATTTTATGTTAATTTAACCTTGAACTACATATTCTCATTTAATATCGTCCTTCTGTCCAAATTTACTATTAACTTCGATAAAAACCTTCACGTGCACATCATGTGACCATTAATCTATAACCTAATCTCGACTAACGTGATGAACATGTAAAAATTAACGACAAATTTTGGCTGAAGGGTCACATTGAGTCAAATTGTATAGTTTAAGAGTTAAATTGATATAAAATATAATTTAAGAGTTTGATTGATACAAATTATATAATCTAAGGGCTAAATATATAATTTAGATAACTTTTTTTTTTTTTGATCGTACACTATTAAGTGGGCAACGATGAGTGGTGCGACTAGGTTGGAATAGTCGATGATTTAGGAGTTCTTTGGTGAAGGAGTACGAGGAGGATCGGTAAGATGAGTTTAAAAAAATAGTCTAAAAAATTTTTAAATTTTATGTTTGTATAAAAATTTTAGTCTTATATTTTTAAATTTGATCCGTAGTTGGGTCAAAAATTAAACTCATGTTCATGAATTTCGTTAAATTTAGGGAGAATGGTGGAATTAAGAAGATAGATAAGAGGTTAAAGATCTAAAAAATAATTGTACCCCTTAATATGATTATGAATTAGATTGATTAAGGTAAAATAATAATTTACGTGACAAATAGTTGTTAATAATTGTGATATATCTGTGGATTTTATATGTGCATGTGTTAATGTCAAACATGAGTAAGAATCGGATTGAATGTTGAATCTTCTCTTAATAAAAAAGGGTTTGAATTTAGAAGTATTTGAAAAATCAATTCAAATCTCACCCTAAAATATATCCGAACAAGCCCTTAGAGTGATACTAGTATCTCTAAAGTTCATCATAATCCTAAATCGATCTAAATTTTTTCCAATTGAGTCCGAACAATATTATGCTCGATTCCATGACCCGCGTAAGGAATTTAGAAGGAATACATGAACCATGTAGACCATTTTATTAGTCCCCCCGTGAAAGTATGTAAAAATTACATTCTCTCTTTTAGGACTTATGCAATTCTTATTTGGCCCCATAAAATAAAGTACTAAAGTTTCCATAGCTAAGAGCATTTTGATATGAGTTCTTTGGAAGGAAGATGAGATTAGCATAGAACTTAGATTTCTGGCAGGCACAGGCAGGTTCAAAAAAATGCACCAATTTTAACTCGTATTTATCATTAAGTAATCAATACTCTTCTAGCTAATTTATTGTGAGGTGAATCGAGGTGAACAAAATTTTATAATGACAAAAATCTTATAGCACTATATTGTCTTTATACAATCAACATTAATTATTAGTTGAACGTGGCACAAGTACGCGACAACGATGATAACACCGAGGGCCGTTAACAAGAAAAAATTCAAAGAAATGACCTTATGAAACCCGAGGCGAATTGAATTTTCTTATAATTGTTGTTTAATGTCTAAATTGATTAGTGACCGAACAGTACAAAACAATCTTAATCTTTAGGAGTGGTTTAGTAACTGAATTTGCTCTATATTAACTCAAAGGCGTTGAATTTAACACTTTATATACTCCTAAGAACCAACCACATTTATTCCTCATGGACATGTTCTAAATTTTACTTCGGCAAAGAGATGAAGAGGGAAAAGAACGGCTATGACTTCAGCGAAGAGATGTAGCCAACTGAAAGACGAGGAGGAAGAACACCGATGTTGATCTCAAATGATGATTACTAAGGAAGATGAAGAATGGATCGGTTTACTGCTTGTGGCTCGTCGTTCAGGTGGGTTTTTCTGGTGAAGAAGCTCGTCGTTCATGAGGTCAACGTCGATTGGCTGGTTCGGGGAGAGATAATGTGAGAAGAAGACTGATTTTTTGATGAAATCAAATTTTTTTAAGTTGTTGATTTTTTAAGTTTTTTTTTCTTTTTAAGACATTAGGTGGCTTAATTGTTGAGTTGGTAATGACACCTCAGCTGCCACATCATCGGGTCCCTTTTTTAGGTCCAAAATTAAGATCCCAATGACAAAAACTTATAGCACTAGATTGTCTTTATACAATCAACATTAGTTATTAGTTGAATGTGGCACAAGTATGCGACAACAATGATAACACTGGGGCCGTTAACAAGAAAAAAATCAAAGAAATGACTTTATGAAACCTGAGGCGAATTGAATTTTCTTCTAATTGTTGTTTAATGTCTAAACTGATCAGTGACCGAAGAGTACAAAACAATCTTAATCTTTAGGGGTGATTTAGTAGTTGAACTTGCTCTATAGTAACTCAAAGACGTGGAGTTTAACACTTTATATACCCCTAAGAACCGATCACCCTTATTCCTCATGGACATGTTCTAAATCTACTTGGACTATAATGATCAATATCTCAACTTGAGTGAGTAGTCGACGCAAGCCTATACACCCATCCCCTATAAAAAAAAAAAGATCACAGAACAAATGCCTCCAAGCTTTGCTCCCACATAAGTAATTAATAATGTGTGGATACTAACTCCACATAAATTGCTATATATTTATAAAGTAGATTATAATTCAAATCTCAAAAGATAAACAAAATGACTTATTTGCAGTTGAGATCGTTTTAAATTTTACTTTAAAGTTAATCTAACGGCTAATATTAACACCTTAAATTTAATAGAAAAAATAGGGTCATAAGAGTGTGTTTAGAGTGACTTTTTAAAAATACTTATATGAATTATTTTTCATAAGTACTTAAAAAAAAATAGTGTTTGAAACTATCCACCACTACCTCTACCACCACCATTTTTACTATCTCTACCACCATCACCACCGTCGTCGCGTCGCCGTCGCCGCCACCACCACCACTGCCTCCACCACCATCGCCATCACCATCGCCGCCGCCACCACCATCACCATCACCATCACCATGTCGTCGTCACCCCACCACCGCCACCACCACCGCGCCACCACCGCCACTGCCACCACCACCATTGTCGACGTCGTCTCCGTCACCCCCACCACCATTGCCACCACCATCGCCACCGTCGTTGCCACCACCGCCATCGTTGCTGCCACCCTCGCCGCCACCACAGTTATTGCCACTCACCACAATCATCATCATCTCTTACAACCATTATTGCCGTCCACCACCTCTCACCCCACTACAATCGATGCTTAAATTTATTTATCTCTCATCTATGTTTGTAAATTGATTTTAAATATGAATACAAATATGTTTATTGTTTATCATTTTTTATTACTTCGTACTTTCATACACAAGTAATAACTAGTATATATAGAGAAAAGAATCAATAATACAAATCCATATAGATTAACCCACCCCCAACAAAATTATACTGACTCCATTAATGAACATTGTTACAAACAATGATTAATTCATGTAAGGTTGCTTTTCATCACATCTTCTCAATTTTAAGCACATGATTGATCAGTTTTTTCATCTTTGATAGAATTTTGTCTATGAGAACTCCCAGAAAGGATGGGTACTGATCAATTTTTCATCTTGAAAGTTCAAGAACTTGCTCATCAGGGGCTGCGCATCCGGCGGATTTCTGGAGATTCGTCGCTTGAAGTATTGACAAACTCGCCGGTGACACCATGCTCGCTGCTTGTGAACTCCTGGCTCGACAATCCCGCTTTCCTGAACTTCTTCATTTCTCCATGGTTTGAGCCATCATACTCAGAACTGCCAGTTGATCCAAATATCGCACTATGGCCAGGCTTCACTCCCTCGTTCAAATCTTCCAACGAGACATCGCCTTCCAAAGCACGTACAATCTGTTTGACAAGTTAATTACATTTAGATTTGCCAATTCTTAATGGGGTTCGATCTGGACTTGTCTTATAAATACGACACGACTCATTTATAACACTACTGTAGATGTAAAAAGTCAGCTTAATGAGGGCGAATACCTGGCTCATTTTCGGGCGTCTCCTTGCAGAATGCCTGATGCATGCGGCAGCGCATGCTACCATCCGTAGCATCTCTTGGGGATCGTAGTTGTTCCCCAGGCGTGGATCCACCAGCTCTTCATAGCTTCCACCATCTGTTGCATGTAATAGAATAGGCCTAGCCTGAATGTGCATGAACCAGAGAACATGTCAATTAAGTACGACATTATTCATGTAAATTAAAAGGCAGACCCCCCCCCCCCGCCAAAAAAAAAAAGCAAACAAATGAACAAGGAAAGAATAAATTGTTCGCGAAATATCCAATCCATACCCAATCGACTAAGCTATCATCGTCGCTGCTGACATCCACAGGGCGTCGCCCAGTTATTAGTTCTAAGAGCATAACGCCATATGAGTAAACATCAGATTTCTCAGTTAGCTTGCCACTTGATGCATACTCAGGTGCCAAGTACCTGGAGTCACATATTAAGATTGAAATTCCCCAATTAATCAATGCACAAAACCGCCTTCCATCTAGATTTTAGGATCATATAGAATCAAAGAGAATAGCAGAGAAAAAGCTTAAAGAGAGAGCCTAATAGGTGGCTTGAAACCTCATTTAGTGGTGCTCAATAGAACTTACCCAAAGGTTCCCATGATTCGCGTTGACACATGAGTGTAGTTGTCGGAAGAAAGCTTAGCCAATCCAAAATCTGCCACCTAAATATGTAGTATTTTCCAGCATCATCCGTTTGTAAAATATGAACAAATATGACATTTTTCCAAGCGAAAAAAAAAAAAAAATTTGTGATGGACCCGATTGCATACATTCCAACAAGGGTGGGTAAACAATTCAATACCTTGGCTTCGTAACTAAAGTCAATTAGAATATTTGAAGCCTTAATGTCTCGGTGGATGATTCGCGGGTGACCTGCCCATGTCAAACAGATTATTGTTACTCACAGTTACATGCTCACACTGAAACACACACCCCATACCCCCCCCCCCCCCAAAAAGTTACCATAGCTAGTGAGAGGAAAAGGGAAAAATTGCTTACAATCTTCATGGAGGTAAGCAAACCCTTTGGCTGATCCTAGTGAAATCCGGAGCCTTGTAGGCCAGTCCATAGTTGGGCGACCGGCTTCTGAAAGTTTGATAATAGCGTAGTGATTAATATTTCCCAAACATATTCTTAAATCACAATGTGATAAACAAATCGAATTCATGTTCTTTCATTCATTTTCATTTAATCCAAAAGATTTGAAAGGAATTGTGGGGATGTAGAGCTTACCATGCAGGTGAAATTCAAGTGTGTTGTTGGAAACAAATTCATAGACCAACATCCTTTGAGAGCCTGCAATACAATAACCAACAAGAGAAACTAGGTGGCGATGGTGGACACGACTGATAATATCAACTTCAGCCTGGAATTCTCTCTCTCCTTGCCCACTACCATTTTTGAGACTCTTCACTGCTATTTCTTTACCATTTGGCAACACCCCTTTGTGAACATACCCAAAGCCACCTTGTCCCAATAGGTTGGTTGCAGCAAATCCTCCAGTTGCAGCGGCAAGGTCATCATAGGTGAAGGTGCTCTTGTTGAACCCCAAGGCAAGGCTTGGGTGTGGGGGTGGCAAAGGGGCATGGTGTGGACCAGAGAAACCGGTAGAGCTCATCTCACTACTGCTCATCATTGGTGGTGGTGGTGGTGGTGCTGCCGCTGCCCAACCATGTTCTGAGCTTATTCCAGCACTACCAGGTGGTGGAAGAATTTTAACCGCATGCCCCATGGATTGAGGCTGGTTGTGCCAATTCCCATGTTGTCCACTGTTGTAGTAACCATTACCTGTATTTAACCATGATAACCATCACCAGCCATGAACAAATGGCTGGATACCTTTACGGAAAATGCTATTTCAACCTAAAAAATTGACATAATTTGTTAATTTAATGATGTGACTTTATTGAAATCATTGGATAAACACCAAGTTTCAATGTTTGATAGAGTCCACAGTTAATTTAAAGGTCATAATAAATTAGTTCAGTAATTTAGGTTTCAATAACATTACTCTACCTTTAAATGTCTACTAGTAATGCAACATGCCTTACACGTAATTAATATTTAAAAAAAAAATTAATAAACAAATATTTGATATATGCGTATTTGAATTAAATATCGTTTTAAATTTATCAAACTTATTTTTTCATCGTTCATGCTCCGCCGTAGAATTTTTAAATTTTTTGTATATTTTCAAGATTTGTTATTCTAACTTTAAAAAAAATGATAAAAAAGAGAAAATAAATAATTAAAGTTTATTTTTTTCTATAATTTTGTAATTGAAAATAATTTTTTAGTGACGTTTAAAAATTAAATTTTTTATAATTAATTTGACTAAAATTCTACTTATAAATCATTGAATAAAATAAAAATAATTATCAATATATCAATCGTATTGAAACCTTACTGTATTTAGAATTAGTTAGGTCAATTAAGATAAAATTTAATATATAATGTTATAGTATATATTATAAAGCATATTAATATTTAAAAAATTTAAATTTTCACATAAAATCTTAACATAGTTTAAAAAATTTACTATGATTAAAAAATCATGTAAAACTATATATACATTATTTTTTATCTTCAAAATAAAAAGTTTAAACATTTTAATAAAAAATAAAATATACATATGTAGTCACAATATTCTCTTTATAAATGAGATGAGTAATATTATATTGATAGAGTTTTTGAAAGTTTTTTTTGAATATTTTTATTGAAACTTATAATAATGCATATATTTTTTAAGAGTAAAATAATCAATCAAAAAGTTTCATAAAAATTGATATTTATAAATAGAGAATAAAAAATTAAAAAATTAATTTGATTAAGATTGTACTTATAAAGCATTAAATAAAATAAAAATAATTATCAATGTACAAATTATATTTGAACCTTACTGTATTTAGGATTATCTAGGTCAATTAAAATAAAATTTAATATACAATGTTATAATATATATTATAAAACATATTAAATTTTTAAAAAAAAATTCAAATTGTCACATAAAATCTTAATACATTTTGAAAAGTTTATTATGACTAAAAAATTATGTAAAACTATATATACATTATTTTTTATTTTACAAATGAAAGGGTTAAACATTTTGATGAAAAATAAAATATACATTGTAATCATAATATTATCTTTATAAATGAGGTGAGTAATATTATATTTATGAAATTTTTAAATGTTTTTTTGAATATTTTGTTACAACTTATAATAATACACATATTTTTTAAGAGTAATATAATCAATCAAAAATTTTCATAAAAATTGACATTTTACATAAGGAATCTATAATTAAAAGTGATCTTAGACGTAATTTAGAGATTTAAATGTATAAGGATATGATGATAATTTAAATATTAAGTGTGGAAGGATAGAGTGATTTTTTAATTCTTCATGAAGGTAAAATAGTAAATTAAAATTTTTTCATCCTAAGATATTTTTATTAATAGTATAAATAAATTGCATTAACAATTTAATTCCATGATGTAGGTTCGAGATCAAGCAGGTTCAGCTTCTGAGTTAAATCTTGATCAAGTTTTACACAAAAGGAAATGCTATTTAGACTTAAATGTAGATTTAATCAACACATGACCAAATAAATAGACATAAATTAGGAACTAAATAGATACAAAATTAAGAACCACACATTTAGCGCGTGATCAAAATTGTCATGATTTTCTAACAGGTGTTTGGGATTGGACAATGTAATATAAATAAGGAACCTTACGGACTAAATAGGTATAATTAAAAAATTGAGGATCAAATATACACTAAATGCACACTTTGGGGGTTAAAAGTGTATTTTACCCTCAGAAAATCTTCAGAGCCTCATTATCGATTGGAAACTAAATTATATCCAAGAAATATTAATTTTCTGAGGAGAGGAAAATAAGGTTAGACTTCAGTACCTTTGTGACCATTAGAATTGTCCCTGTAGTATTGCATCTGATCGTGTGGCTTTCGCCTCTTTCTTTTCGCACAAGACACCAAGAGTACAATCATAACAAGAAGCAATAACCCTGCCCCTGCTGCAACTCCTGCTATGATGAGTTTTGAATTGGCCGAATCATCGTTTGTGGCCTTACTTGATGACGGCGGTGTCTTGTGTTTTGAATGCGAGAGTGACCCAGAGTGCGGTGGTGGTGGTGGTGGCGGTGGAGGTGGTGGAGGAGGCGGTGGAGGAGGTGGTGAACCCCCGTTTGATGAACCTGAGTTGGGTGGGGGAGGAGGGGACTTCTTGTTGGAAGGCGGGGAATTGTTGTTGTTAGAAGGTGGGGGATTGTTGTTGTTTGGAGGTGGTGAATTGTTGTTGTTAGGAGGTGGTGAATTTGAGTTTCCAGGTGGAGGAGGTGGTGACGAGCCGTCCCCCGATGGTGGTGGTGCTGTAGATGATGGCGGTGGTGGCGATGATGATGAATTTGGTGGTGGTGGTGATGATGATGAGGATGATTGAGGTGGAGGAGAAGGAGGAGAATCCGACGATGGAGCTTCCTCAGGCGATGAAGAAGAAGACATTTTATCGGAATCTTTGCCAATGATATCCGTCAAAATGCGTCGGGCAGACCCCGCCGCTCCTCCAAATAACTCACCCTGTAAAATGCCAGAAAACCAAGTGATCAACAGCAATGGAGCAAAAATACCTATAGCAACAAACCAACAGAAACTTATATTGCATCTACCTATGCATGAAACAAAAATGTCACTGAGGGATACAGAGAGATGGACCAGGGATGAGGAAGAAAGAGAGGGAGAGAGAGAGGGAAGAAGAGAGAGAAATGTACCTTTAGGAGAAGGGCAGGGAGGATTCTCAAAGAAAGGATAGGAAAAAGACATTGCATGGTAATAGTTTCAACAAAGAAACCGAAAGACTCCTTTCCATCCCCATACACCTCCTACAAAGAAGGGAACTAATTAAACTCAGTATATTCTATATTTAGGTAAGCCTCCCATTTTTTACTCTTTCAACATTGGGTCATTAGTACCATATGAAGAAAAAAAAGAGAGGCATGTGGGTAAAGTCATGAACTAGTGGAGCCAACGAGTTCGAATTCAAGCCTGAGCCTAATAAACTTGATTTTTAAAATAAATCTAAAAAATTATTTAAATTCGGATCGTTTTCTATACAAACGAGATCCACATAAATCGAATCTGAACTGAGCCCGAATAACTTGTATTGTTTACAACTCTTACATGTATTTCTAATATTTTTATTAAACATGGGAGTGCATTTGTCCTTGGCATTGAAAATTGAGTTTGACACCATTAATAAAAAAGATTTGCATTAAAAAGGACAAGTTTTATGCATGTAAAAATTAAATAAACACATAATCAACACATTAAAAAAATGAAATAATTTTTTAATTATTTATGCATGAAATTTAAAGTTTAAAATTATATTTTTTTGTAACTTTCATACATTTAATATGATGCTCTTTCTCTAAGAATTTTTTTTAAAAATTTGTCGTCTTTGCGCTCCTTCTATTGCTTTTTCTCCCCGTCCCACCACTCCGGCACTCACTCTATATGAATTAGGTGTGGTATGATATTAACAGTGTATTGACGAGAATTGATAATAAAATGAATTTGAATCTAAAAGTAGAATATGTAGAATCACCTCACGACCTTCCGAAAGAAAACCTACGATGATCAGTTCTAAATTAATTACATTATGAATCTGATCATCTTAGTTCTAAATTTCATTATTCATGATCTTTAATAATTTATTATTAATTTCTTAATTAGTAATATTAAACTGACCAAATTTTAGAACCAAATTTAGAGTTCAAATGATATGACAGTTCATTGATTGATGTTATGTCATTTGGATCCCAATAAAAATTTTAAATAATTACTTATCATGTCATTTAGACTCCAAATTTAATCTCAAAATTTAGTCAATCTAACCTTACTCTTTTCTAATTGAATAGTTACTACTCATGCTCTGTGGATCCAATGAGGAGCCCAGGCCCATCCAACAAAGTAAACGCAACCTGCTTTGTGGATCCGATTAACATTCAGAGCGGCGGAGGCCCATATATAAAGGCCCATCCAACAAAGCAAACGCAGCAGCAGAGTACTACTACTTACCAGTACTAGTGGAATCGTCTCTGTCCTAACCGTCTTCGTCTGCCGACGCTAGAGAGAGAGGAGAGAGAGAGAGAAATTAAAAGCTTAGTTCTCTTTCCAGTTTCTTTTTCTATCTCTATAAAACTAAGCCAATTGAATCACATCTTCCTTGGATCTTCTCCACTAGCTGTTTCTCTATCTAAAATTTTCTCTCTCTAGATCGGGTTGTCTCTGAGCCAGTTCAAAACACTACAGCTATGCCTTCCCGGAGAAGAACGCTTTTGAAGGTCATAATCCTCGGCGACAGCGGGTGAGCTCTGCATACATACAGTCACATCTGTGTGGATAAATATATACACGTCCTTCATTAACATATAACTGTGCGTTCGCTAGCTTCGATCTTTAATTCTAGGGTTTCCAGACTCGCAATTTGGAGTTTTTGATGATTCATCTATGAAAATTTATTCAAAGTACTTGAAGACTTTGCTTTGCTATGTGATGAATTTTGTTAACTTGATAATGGCCTCATTCAGCAAGATCAACTACGTGTGTTAATTATATCTTTAGAAAATTTATGGACAGCCTGTTTACTGTGGGTGGGTGGTTCTTTGTGTTATTTTCAGGGTGGGGAAGACCTCATTAATGAATCAGTATCCTTCACAATTCGCTAATCGCGCAATTTTTTTTTTAATGAAATTGTGTTCTATGATTCGAATCAATTTTTTTTTTGTTGGCCTTGAATATTGATTTTAGATATGTAAATAAGAAGTTTAGCAACCAATACAAGGCGACTATTGGAGCCGATTTTTTGACAAAGGAAGTGCAGTTTGAAGATAGGCTCTTCACCCTACAGGTGGGTATGGTATTGGCGCTTGTCTTTTTGATCAACTCTTAGAAGCATAAATTTCAATCCTTCACTTTTTTTTTGGATGCGTGTGTGTGTCATACCCTTGAACCTACTTGATTTGACAAAGTCTTGTTTTCGAAATTTTATTGTCCGAGTCTTATTAGTTTACAAGAGCAATACATTAAACCTGGGAGTTGATGAAAAAGTAGGGGTGGCAGGAATAAACTGATGGCCAATGAAATATACTTGTTGTGCTATAGAATTGGTGGATGGAGTATGTGATGTTGTTCTTTTACCCTTTAATTCGTGAGTGTTATGCTGATTAGAGTTGTGCGTGCATAATCCTGCATAATATAAACACGAGAACAGATCTCTTCTGTGGTGAACACGTGTCCGTCAATCGAGTGTTCAATCTTGCTACTTGGAACATGTTGTGAGGGTTGAAGGTGGCCAACGAAGTGACGACGAACTGTTTTTAGGGGTCGCCTGAGCGATCCTGGAAGGCTGAGAAATGTTCCTGGAACAACGAAAAATAGGTTAGAAGGGCGTCGGAGTATTTTCTGACGTATCCCCTTCGACGATCAAGTCAGTTCTTTGAGAGAGGGAAAGAAGAAAACACTGTATGATGGTTGAGAGAGGGTTTGTTGCGTACCTCCTTTTTGTGTTTGTGAGGACTATTTATACCTTAAAAACTCATTATTGTTGACAGCGTAGCTAGTAGATAATCATTGGAGGTGGGTAGTGCGCACACCAATTTCTATGCGTAATGTTCTAATTCTTAACAGCTCGGGACCCCAAGCAACTAATGCTCTCTCCTCGGTCTGCCGAATGTTTAATGATCTTCCCTTGGCGGGGGTGTATTAGATGCCCTGGTATTAGGAACATTTATTGTCTTTCACTTCCAGGATCTTATGTATTAAATGTTGTCTCATCGAGCGAAGGATGCATTAAATGCCTGATCTCTCAAGTCGTGTGTCAGCAAGGGCATTCAGGTCTTTTTGTCTCTGATCTGACACAATATGCCACGTGTCCATTCCCCTTTGGTTGAGCCTTCTGCCTTCGTGTGCCTCCTGACACCGTTTGAGTGGAACGATGTCATGATAGCTAGTCTAGCCTGACCTAGGCTAGTAACCCACCAATCAGTAGTCCCTGCAGGAGCAGAAATGCTTCGTAGACAGATATACCTCGGTTTCGAGGGTCCAGCGTCGCTAGGGGCCGATGTACCCAACCTGACCGAGGAATACGTGTCGATCTATGCTATACTGGGGATCCTTGATCCCTGTGAATAGTACTCTCGGGGGAAGGGGGATTATGGACTGACGCGCACATGTCGTGATCTGATCGACGAGCATCCATTGACGCCGAGGACACGTGTCATCATCTTGGAGTGTTTGGAAATGTCCCATCAACTGTCCCCCAGCCTTCGATCTTCTAACACCGAGGACACGCGTCGTAAGAAGACGAAAGGTTTTGCAATTGCCCCAACCACTCCATCATTGCTTCCAACCGTTTTTTGCCGCTTAGGAGGTCGTGCACATTAAATGCGCCTCTCCGTGCTTCGTGCCTAATGATGGGGATGGATACTATAAACGGGTTCTCTCTCTTTTTCCCACACTTTTGCCATTTCGAACTCTCAGAGAGCCTTCGCCTGAAATCTTGTCGGAGGCCCCCTTCGTCACGTCGTCTACGAACCAGGCATCACCAGAGTTTTTTAGGCCAACAGATCCCCTCTTGCTTCTGAACCCCCTGGAGAGAGGAACCACTCCAAGCTCTTCAGAAACCTTTGTTCGCGTTCTGGTGAGTCCTTGTATCTTCCTTCTTTCCTTTCCGTCTTTCCGTCTTTTTGGGTTTTTGTTTTTTATTCTCCGGTAATCGGAGGTGTTTTTGGTTGTCGTTGTGTGACCAATCCTCAGGAAACCCTTTGGGGATCTTCGTAGAAAAACTTTTTCCCTTCGAGGTAGCCATGTTGCGCACGCCTCGCATAGACCTGGGATTCCTGAGGCAGAGGCAGGCCCTTGCCGCTGGGAGAGGACGAGGGTCAACCAGTAGCGCCCCATCAACAGGGACCAACGCTAACCCCCCACCTTCGAGGGCTGCTGGTTAGGGTCAAGTGCGTGATCGAGATCCTCAAGTCGAGGAGGAAAGGATGACCAAGCAAAGGCACGACGGCCCAGGCAGGGGATCCAGGGCCCCCTCCGCTCAACAGCAAAGTAGGAGATGCCGTGTGTTGCCCCTTCCACCTCAACAGCAATAGCAGCAACAGAGGCAACAACAACAGCAACAGCAACAGAGACAGACTCTGCTTCCCCCTCAGCAGACGGTGCAAGCTGTAGAGTAGAACCCTCGAGCTATTAATCATATGAACCGGGTGATTAGGGTCGACGATTCCATTTTGCAGGACCTCCATGTCGTCAACACAGTGAGCGAGGGGCTCCATTTTGAGGCCGACATGGAGGCTCACAGGTGGCGGACAATGAACACGTTCCATTCCATCATTCAAAATTCCTTGGTGGTAAGTTCATCTTTGTTTCAGCCTTTTCTTGCCGCATTGCCTATAATTGACCAAGTTCTTTCCCTCGCAGGCCACCCAACAAATCTCCGTAATCGCTGCGCGATATCATGCAGCTAGGATGGACCTCCAACGGACCCAGGAGCAGAAGGAAGAGGTCGAAGGAGCCCTGGTTAGTGTGAAGGAGGACGTGGCTGCCAGGGACTCCACCCGGGCAGGCTGCACAAATTGAGCAACTCCTCAAGGACAGCGAATTGGAGAAGGTCGGTGCTAAAAAACTAAGTGCTGCCTTGGCCGACGCTGAGAGGAGGATTACAGAGCAGACGCAGCAGCTCTTTGCGGCCAAGGAGAGGGCCGTCGGGTCAAAGGAGAGTTGCTTGGCTCTGACCTAGGAGCTGGATAGAGTTAGGGTGGAA